AGTATAGTATTATATTATCTGTGCTTTCGCGTTATTTACACATATTTTAAATACACTATCAGGACTAAAAGCGGTGAAAATTTTTTTGCTGGTACCTGCAAAAGGTACTGTTTAATACCTATATACCTGCTTCTTTATTGCCGACGTTCCGACGTGGTTTCCATCACGTCGTAATTACGACGTATTAAATTTTTCATCGCGTTAAGTCACGATAGTGTATTTAGAATAAGATGACGAAATACGTACCGATTTTTTTTATTAAAAAAATATATACAATCTCTCACATTCTTGAAGACCTTTATGTTCATATTTCACGCTCGCGTAATCTCCGTAACTCAAATTGGTCAAAGTGAATGAACCAATTGTGATGTAAATCAGGTAAAATCCTCGGTAACCTACATTCACCAACTATCGGGAAACCACTGACCGAGTAATTTCAAATTTTCACAGTGAAATAACTGAAATATAGAACGTTTATTTTATATTTAACTACGACTATTTAAATTGCAAACTAGCTGAGCTAACAGACTTCGAACGTTGTGTCATAAGCTGACAGTTTGGACGGAAAAATAATGGGAGTTTTACATTTTTAGGAGCAATTTTTTCACCTATCTATATTTACGCTAAATCCCTTGCGGGTAGACAGAGAGAACTAAGGATCTCTATCCTTACATACATCTCTTGTTTTCTACACTTTCATAATTTCTCTCGGTTCTGAAAATTCTTAACTTCTTCTTCGGAAAGAACCTGATATGTCTGATCATAATAGGATCTAGGTCTCCACCGATACATGCATTCATCCATATTCGTGTTGTGTGTTTGTATTATCGACTTTTTATCTGGCATTCTATCCAAATGCCCGAAGTACTAGCATTTTTCTCTTCAACACTCCTTTACGGACGTTAACAAATATTTTTTTATGCAACTTAGAATGGCAAACAAGCGGACGACCCATCTGATGGAAAGTGGTAACCGTCGCCTATAGACATGAGCAGTACCATGGACATAACAGTACACACACATGTTTCGCCCATGATACCCCCCATGCATTGCCATTCCTGACGACTCAGGTGTTATTCCTCTGTACCCTGTAAATTCACTACTTCCATATATTCCACACTTTAAACTGAAATACAGCCATGCAAACACAACTGCTTCACGATAGAAACATACTTGAGACGAAAGTGCCTAAGCAAACGACTTTTGTATAAAGTTCTATAAATAAAAAAAATTATTTGCTCTAGTCAGCAGAACTTTCCTCGGGAATATAAAAAAAACATGTTACCATTTTTACGAGAAACGCTAACACATAAATACACAAGCAGATCAAATATCACAAAATTAAAATGGGATCTACACAGCAGTAAATAATTTTAAGATCGTGTTTTACAAAAAAATCGTCTTCAATCGTGACAAAATCAGTTATTTTTATTAAAAAAGTAAACCATTATTAATATAATTTCTTTGTGATGAAATTTTATATGTTTTCAAATAAAGAGAAAGTATTTTCGGAGTCGGTTTATAAGTGACGAAGTTTTTTATAATAGGTGATAATGGAATGGTAACCCCGCCTGCGCTATCGGGATACGTTGGCGGGGCACCAGTGAGGGATGATAGGTGAGAATGAAAAGGTAGGTCAATTAGCCCATCATGACGAATTCCACCAAAATTAACCACGATGGTTTCCAGGGAGAACCATGTGGTGGTGAACCTGATAGGGTGTATTGCTAGCAATGGGTCAATTAGACCCCATTACTAACAATTCCTTTCCCCCCTAACTGCCGGAGTTATGATGTAAATAAAAACTAGCGAATTAAGAACTTCTTACTTTTTTGAAGTCGACTAAATAAATATTATATCTAGATACACAAATACACAAAAATATGTAAAAAATCAAAATGTGTAAATATTTAGTATAAAAATATCTAAACGCCCCAAAATGCGTAACATACGAGTAAAAAATCCTGAATTGAGAGCGTTCTTATTTTAGAAATTATTAAAAAAGAATTTTTGTTTGTTGTCAAGTCCATAACTGTAATAATTTAGCCAATTATTTTAATAATTAATCTTCGTAACAGTCCAATTAAAATTTTTAAAGGAAAAGAAAATTTGGAATTTAGACATGAAAACATCTATTGAGTCGTCACTTAAGAACGGCTGGCAAACTTTGGCTGTTATTATAAGACATTTGTCGCAGTCCAATTAAAATTGCTAGGAAAAATAAATAAAAATAATATTCCGAATGTTCAAAAACTTGTTTATTAATTAATTAACTTTTTTATTCATAACAACACTGAATAAATACAATTGTTAATATTGATCCTTACCAATAAATGTGAAAGTGTGTTTGTTACCTTAAAACAGGTCATCCAAACTCTATTCATTTATTTATTTACAAGAAAGATGGTAAATGTACAGAATATGAATTTTAGTATACATACATACATACATACCAGAGGAAGACTTTGTACAAAAGTCGATTGCTTGGATACCTCTGTCCCATTCGTGTTTCAACCGTGAAGCAGTTGTATTTGCATGGCTGTGTTTCGGTTTGAAGGGTCCGTGGCGTGAATTTACTGGGTACAGAGGAATAACACCTGAGTCCTCAGGAATAGCAACGCATGGGGAGTATCATGGGCGAAACAGTATACTCTGTTATGTCTATAGGTGACGGTTACCACTTCCCATCAGGTGGACCGTCAGCTTGTTTGCCATTCTAAAAAACATACAGTAGTACGCAGACAGAACTGCTTTACAGCTAAAACACGAGTGGGACAGAGATATCCAAGCAGATGGTTATTGTACAAAGTCCTTCTTCTGGTTAATATTTTAATTATTTAGTCAATTAGAATTAGATAAGTATCTTTATAAATATATTTTTATACCACTGAGGTGGCAAACAAGCATACGGCCCCCTAATAGTAAGCGGTTACCGTAGCCTATGAACGCTTGCAATACCAGGAGTATTACACACGCGTTACCGCCCATAAAAAACCTCTTTACCCCTTTTTTGAAGAACCCCATGAAGTATTGTATATATTATTATTTATTTATTTATTCTTTATTAATCACATAAAAAAAAAATTTGGTACAGAAGCCGATTTTAATGCTATACTGTACAGCATTCTCTCCCAGTCAATCTTTGGGAAAACAGAAATGCAATTATGCTGTGAAAAATAATTCATGCTCATGTATTTGTTACTAGCTTTTACCTGCGACAGTGTCCGCGTGATTGGTATATGTTTACTGACGAGACTGTAGTCTATATCTTTCTCCATCCCTTATAGTAAGTGTGTATTAAATTTCATAATGATTGGTTGAGCTGGGCACTATAAAGTAACAGACAAACTCACTTTCACATTCTTGACATTAGTAAGGATTTTCTTTAAATACCTCCAACCGTTTGAATGCACTCAATTGGAGGTATTTAAAGAAAACATGAAAAGTATGCCATGTGTGCTCCAGCATAGAATAGGCCACACCTTCCTTTCCCGTTCGTGTCGTAAGCGACTATGGAAGAGCAAAGAATGAACAGCAGCGTCCCACTTAAAACATGTCCAAATCCAAATTGCGGTTCCCGATCTACCTGTTAAGCGTGATAACAACTGCCAAACCCCCCAAAAAGGTAAGCTTCAGCAGTGGACAATTAAAGGCTGATATGCTGATGATAAGAACGTTAAAGAAGAAGTAGGAGCTGCTGGCAAAATTTTCAATGCCCCTGAACGAGATTAAACATGACGTAGGCGCCATCTGCCGTGATTATAGGCTAACCACCGACAGTTCTACGACGCAGCCGGAATACAAAATTATTGGTGCAATCTAGCCAACGTGTTTAAAATGCTTAGCTTGCATTTGGAAATCTGTAAATCTAATAAAATTGACGACTTGTAACTGTCTTCAAATAGGAGAAGTTTAGGTTGTTAATAGCCATCCTATTTTTGAGGTACCATTTTTTAAATCGATTTCTAAATTTAAATTTAATATAAAATTAATTTTAATTATGTAAAAAAATAATATTAAATTTGAATTACTCTTGCGCCACCTACCCATTTCTATAGGGAAGAAAGGTATTGTTACGAATGAGGTCTTAGAGCCCCATTGCTAGCAAAATACCCTCACAGGTCGACTCCCACGCGGTTCCCCCTGGCAACCATCATGCTTAATTCTTGTCGAATTCATCATGGTGGGCCAACTGACCTGCATTCATTCTCACCTATCATCTTCCACTGGTACCCCGTCGGTTTATACCGATAGCGCGGGCGGGGTTACCATTCCATTTTCACTGATGAAAAAAAAACCCACTTTTATATTTTTTTATACCACTGAGGAGGCAAACAAGCATACGGCCCACCTAATGATAAGCGGTTACCGTAACTTATAAACACCTGCAATACCAGAGGTATTACGCATGCGTTGCCGACCCTGAAGAAACCTCTCTTACTTGTTCCTGTTCTCCTTTAACCAAAGGTTATCTGTAATAGATTATTCGAGGGATTTGTAAACCTTTTGTAACTTTATGTATATATTTTAATCTGTACTTTATGCTACTGTTCACTTGATGTTATATGTTTATGTTGTCATTGTTTATTTTATTGTTTCTAGTTCAATAAAGAGTTAAATAAATATTAAAACGAAATCTGTAATCCAAAGACTAATATGAACTAAATTTATAATTAAATTTATAATTAATGAAATAAAAAATATTATAAATTTATTTTATATTTGTTTCATAATACAGTAATTTTTCGAAATTATCTAATTACAATACCAGGCTGAGAGAAAGGTTCTTTTTTTTTATATTATTTTTTAAAGGGCTTTTACCTTCTTCAGGTATATCAGCCCTATCGTACCCTGAACTGATTTCTCAAACAAAACTTTATCTACTTTCCCTTGACGCGGAAAGAGAAGAATTAATGGGCATAGTGAAATAGCTTCTCAGAATAGTCCGCGATACTACTGTGTTTTTGCTATGTAGGTATATCACGAGATATCTTAATCAATTGTCGATAGAGATGGGCAATCCACCTGGGTGGGTTTAAAGTCTGGTGGGTAAAAACCGGGTGTTTTGGGTTTATTGGGTTTAAACCCCATAAACACCCAAATTTTTGGGTGTTTATGATTTTGTACTTCATCATCGTCATCTCAGCCGCAAGACGTCCACTATACTGGACATAGACAATATTATTATGCAGCCTACAGAATAAAAAACTTTTAATTTGATTTTGAGTTTATTAAGAAAGAGATGAAAGTAAAATGTAAAACTACAGTCAATCACTGTCAGATTCAGAGTTATTACAAGCGATGAATTGTATAGGTTCGATAGGCTCTATTTCGTCTAAACTGTTATGTTCATTTACTTGCTCAATGAAAGCTTCTAAGGTATTTTCTTCATTAAACTGAATGTCCTCGCATTCAGCTTTATGTTTAAGATTCCAGTTATAACAAATGAATGAAATTTTTTCAGTTCTTTCAGTTGTAAGTCGATTTCTTTTGTTATTATGTATGTAGCCTTGGATACTAAAGGAACGCTCAGTGGCTGCCGAAGTACAGGGAGCTGATAGAATACGAATCGCTACTTTGCTTAACTCAGTGGAACCACAAATACCTTTCCACCATATTAGGGGCTCAATGCTATCTAATGAGCTCCATACAAATCCTCTGGCCCAAAAGTTTTCTTTAGCTTTATAACACGCCAAATCTGCCATTACATTTGACAAACTTAAGTGTTGGCTTAAATTGTAGATAAACTCCATACCCTTAAGTTCTTCCTCTTGAGTAAGTTCGACTCCTAGAGTCCTGGGGTCTAGAATATATGCTGCAAAATGTATTGGCCTCATTACCATATTGCATCTTGAAGATACTGATGTTAGAATCTGCTGTTTGCTTTCTTCGCTCAATGTCGAAATCTCATTTAATGCAAAACGTATCTTAGCTTGTACATCTCTAAATGTAATGTATGTGCGATGCAAACGATTCTGGTCGCTCTCTAAGTAAAATATGCTTTCAGTGACTGGTTCCAAAATACTTATACATTCCCCTGTCTTCGTCCAGAAATCATCACTTAGAATTAAATCTTTAATATCTCTTGAAATTACCACATCTTCTCTAACTGTTAATATTTGCAAAGCTATCTTATTTGCTTTCAAACTTTTTAACGAAGTAACATGACTTCCCCATCTTGTAGCACAAGGCAATTTTAGTGTTTGTGTAGAATCTTCACCCTGCCTTGATTTTATCAACAAGGAACTTAATCGTTGACTCCTTTTAACAGTTTTTATTATATTTATGGCTTGCATAATAAACACAGTTACTTCTTGTATCTTTACAATATCTTGGCACAACAAGTTAAGGATATGTGCACAGCAACCGAGAGGAACAACATGTGGATATTTGAGTTTTGTTAATTCGAATGCCTTTTGTATATTTCTAGCGTTATCGCCAATAAGTACAAGAAACTTATTTGCTCCATACACTTTCATTACTTTTTCAACTTCTTGGCTAAGGTATTCACTAGTGTGAGGATTACTTTCTGTATTCAAACTTTTAACGTATGCAGGTTGAGGTTTTGATATAAGAAAGTTTATTATTCCTTCATTTCTTAAATTAGACCAGCCATCGCACTGAAGGTGTAAGTAACTACAAGCATTTAGTTCCTCATTTAACTCAAAACGCATTTCTCTATATATTTTATCTAAGTATTTTGTCGCTAAAGCTTTACGTGAAGGTATTTTAAATTTTGGTTGCAATTTTTCGAAAAATTGTATCCATAAAGGATGTTGCACCATCGATAATGGCGTCCCTGTTACAAATATAGCTCTCGCTAATTCTGTTTTTATATGATCATCGGTGTCTTGAAACTCAGCATTTATTGTAGTGTTAGCAGACGACGAGGGGCTTATAAAAGAATCATTTGTCTCTATCTCTGACAGTCCAGACATTTTGGTTTTGGACGAGCTATCTTTTATAAGTTTCATAGAGTCTTTTAATGTTTCTGGAGATTTTGGACAAGTGATAAGATGTTGAAGCATTTTGGCAGCATTACTGAATTTGTAGACCTTATTACAAAGCTTGCAAGAAACAGACTTGTTTGGTAAAGTACGGTAGTGCTCCCATATGCGTAAATCTTTAGGTCTCCCCATTGAACCTAAAAAAATGAACGATGATTAGTTGGTCTGACGAAAATTCAACAATAGAGTGCCTATTTTTTTACAATGATTATTTCTTGTTATTTACAATAAATTTATTAAAAAAATAATAAAATAAATACAAAAAGCCTTTGTAAAATTACATCTCCTCGGAGGATTAAACGCAGACGCTAGTTTATTATCGTATTGTTCTGTATTTTTCTCAGCAACTTCTTTAATTCGATTAGGTACTTACGCATATTATGTTAAAAATAAATATCTAGTACACATCTTAGGCTATCCACCATTATTATCCAATGACGACTCTCAGCTAACTATGCACTATCATCCAAAATAAACGTGTATGGAAAATTTTATCCCAGTCGGTTGAGGATTGAGGATAATTGCATCAACATACGAACATACCTACATACTTTTATTTACATAACGCAAGCTAAATAAAAGCTTGTAATAATACATCTAATTTTAAGTTAAAATTGTTAAGTGATCATGATATAATTGTATCATTCAAAAATCCACTTACCTTTAATTATTTCTTGTTAAGTATAAATATTATTTCAAATCTGCTCCCTTAATATGCACTTTTTTACTGCTTTTCCTACCTAACACGTTACCAGGAAGTCACGTTACCAGAGTCAGAGTAATAGTGAACACGTTTGACAGTGATTGTCGTCGCCTCATATTCAGCGTCGACGAATAGGGGAATCCCCAGTCATAATGTATTGCATGCGTGGCGGTCTTACTTCAAATCCATAAACAAAGAGATAATTACAGAACTCGATACTAGATGGCGCTGTTTTTGTTTGAAGAAAGTTTGCGGGCTAAAATACATAGAATTTCATCAATGACTTCCACAAAGAACAACATTTCTGTTTTTTCTAAGTCCGTATCTCTTCCGTATATTTCATAAGATATAAGCTTGGGCTACATTGTTATGCAACGTGATTTTGTCGCTGTCTTGCTAGCAGGGTTGACAGATATACGATTTAAATCGTACTCATACTATTATTTGTCTATTTTTTAATGTACGATCGTAAAGATTATGATCGTAATTCGCACAAAAACATACGACTTTTTGGTTACCTGGCAACATTTTTATTATGAAACGAACATGCTCACATCATCAGTCACATGCAACAATTTATTGGGGATTTCCCCTTCACATCTGGCAGTCCTGCTTGCTAGAATATAGGTAAGTCAGCCACAGTTACTGACGATCGATATTTAAAGGGTATTGTTTTTGTGCTAAATATTTCATAAAAACGTTATTTAATACTTTGTGGATTATTAATTTAGTTGATAATCACTGGAAGTAAAATGGATGCTAATTTGAGAGATCAAGATCTTCGTATAAAACAGTTAATAAAAGAAAATCTACGTAAGTACTCTTTTTATACCTAGGTAGGTAAGGTATAATAAACACAAAAGGTACTTAGATCGCGTGTGTTCGAAGCATTTATTCTAATAAATTTAATTTAAAATTGTAGAAAGAAAAAAATGTCTGCCAAGCCGTAGCCGAAGCCGATCTCCAAATATATTTGGCGATAGTGAGACCCAGTGTCCAGATGATTTACCCAGCGTCGTCGCAACAAAGAAAAAAAACGAGGATAAAGTAAAAGAAAATTTACTGAAAGAAGAAACAAACTGTTCTAAATGCTTAATTTATGGAGAAGAGGATAAAAGAAATGAGTATTTCGGACTGTTAGTGGCTCAAGAATTTAAATATATACGGCCATGTGTGCGAACGAGGTGTTATGAAGAAATTTTAAAGTATCTACGGGAAGCAAAAGGCCAACATGTTGATCAACTGCAACATGAAAACACTGAAAATTAATTACTTTCATTTTATTATATATAGATTTTTAAAATTTCCTGAAATATTATTAGTTAACGTTTTATTTAATATTGTAGAATTGATCAATACAATTTATAAAAATAATTTATTGGTATTACTTACATATTTTCAAAAAAATACGTAAAAACCTATTTTTTTGGGTGATTATGGGAGTTTATGGGTGTTTATTGGGTTTTTACCAAAGCACCGGGTTTAAACCCGGTGCTTTGCCCATCTGTAATTGTCGACAACGTAGAATAGGTAGCAATAACCCTCTTAAAACATTACCAAAGCTTACCTGCAGTTGCTAACTCGCCTGCCAAACGTGGCAACTACTGACAAATGGGGCTGGCCTATTTTCAGCGGATAGTTATTATAAAACAAATCAATTAAAGAAATCAATTATTTAAGAAAATTACTATTATCATCATATCAGCTTTTAAATATCCACTGCTTCAGCAGGTTTATGCTCATATAAGCTTACTCCTTGGGGAGTTTGCCAGTAATTGCCACGCTTGACAGGCGGATTGGCAACCGCAGTTATGCTCTATAGATGTTTTTAAAGAGACGCTGCTGCTCATCCCTCCAAAGGAAAGGGTGGCCTATTCTCACACACTCACACGGTCAAATTATACATATAACTGGTATATTTATGTTAGTGGTAAGTAATTATTTTTCGATAACAATGCAAATAAAACAACACACAAAATTGAAAACTTTATTGTATTGAAATAAGCCTCGCTTATCACATTGCTCGCAATATCAATCATTCCATACCCATTTCCCATTTAAAATTCAATCATAACGCACACAGAACTATGTCCATTTTACAATTCCGTATGAGTAGAGGGGAATTTCTTTAAAACGGCATGGTATAGATTATAGAAAGCGTAAACGGATACACTTAGAATGACTACCAATGATCCCCCGAAGACGAAACTCAAAAAATTTCCATCAATCATGGTGGTCCCTCGGAGGCTCCTGGCCTGACCCTGGAATAGGTCCTTAGTGCCAGAGCCTGCTGCTTTTCTTTCTTCCATCATCCGTTTCATAGAGGAAAGACGTTCTTTCAACTCGTCTATTGACTCCAGCATATCTTCTGACGCTAAAAAAAGAATTAAATTGTTTTAGTTAATATTATTCTATTATTTTTATTTTATTTTATTTTTTTTTCTATTATGTTTATGTTTGATCACAAATTTCTCATTGCATTTATTTCCAATAGAAGATTTTTTTAATTCTATAAATATTTAAAATAATTTCTACTCTATATATTTTTTGTCTGCAAAATAATTTATTTTATTTATTGAAATAATTTTATTGACTAAAAAAATGGTACAAAAGGTTTTTTATACAACTTAGAATGGCAAACAAGCTGACGGAATTCCACCTGATGGAAATTGGTAACCGTCGCCTATAGACATAAGCATTACCATGGACATAACAGAGTATACTGTTTCGCCCATGGTACAAAAGGTGGGCTAATGCTTGTAGCATTGTTTACCAGCCAACCTTTGGGATGAACAGTGAATCATGAACGCAGTAGGTACCTACTTCATTATTGAGGTATCATATTATGTGAATTCTTTTCAAATTCTGCATCAATTTTAGTAATTCTTTTTGCAAACAATAGTATTTATTTCTAATATAAATATAATCTCCTATTAATTTTACTTTATTTACTAAGCGTAGACTTAAATTATTTTTATTTACTTTAACTCAAATGTTTCGTCATTTAATTAATTCTTTTTTTAGATATTAAATTAAAATATTCATACTATTACTATTATTTATATTATTATATTACTATTATTTATTAGTACTATTTCTATTAAAAAGTCTTGGAGCAAAAAGTCATGAAACATTCAAAAATTTTAATACCAAAAACAAATCAAAAAGTATTATAAAATCAAACAAAAATTAATCGCATACGAAGAAATTCAATATTGTCACAATGTCGCTTGGGACCATTTATCATTAACAATTGCAACGAAAATTAATACAGATTATAAAAAAAAATCTAAACATCTGATTTCCAATATTCGAAATATCTGTTAAAATACGAAATCACATTACATTATTCACTTACCTTCTGACTCTCGTTCTGGACTCATGTTGATTATAATTGTTACTTAACAAGCAACTTAATAAACACTTAAATACTTATCACCAGTCTTTTGTTTTCAAATTCTTTTGCATGCCCTCTGTTCTGAATATTTTGGATATACAAAGATGGCGGACGACGCATGCGCAGTGCAAAAACGGGATGAACGGGAACTATTGATCGGAGACCCGGGAATAAGTATGTACTTAGGTGTAACAGGTCTAGATTGTAGGTAACCTGTTAGCTAACAAAGAATACTTCCAAGTTTCTGTAGGCAAATAGCAATATTTTTTTCATATCTGTCTTATCTTTTGTCCTACGTAAACATTATATTTTGCTATGTAAAGTCGTAATAATTGAGTCCTTTGTCAACCAATTTAAAAAAAAAGGAGTTGGGTTTTATAAGGTTTTATTTTTTTATTTATTGATTATAATGCATTGATATACATAATATAGAGTTGTTACAATGTTCTTATGACGAATAAGTACATGAAACCTGTTTGGATATAGCTAAATTTAAGTAATAGGTAACTAATGGGGGGAAAGGGATTGTTAGCGATGGGGTTTGACGGCCCCATTGCTGGCAATATGCCCTGTTGGGTCGACCTCCACGTGATTCCCCCTGGAAACCATCGTGAGCAATTCTTGTTGAATTCGTCACGATGGGCCAACTGACCTGTTTCATCCTCACCTATCATTCTTCATTGGTGCTCCGCCAGCGTATCCCGATAGCGCAGGCAGGGTTACCATTCCATTATCACCCATTAAAAAAAATAGGTAACTAATATAAATGCATTAATTGCTTGTTTTTAAATAGATTAGTCATGCAATAATTTCGATTTACATTGAATAAATGAACAAATATTTAAAATATCATATTAATCATATAAAAATGAATTGAAGTCAGTCTGGTTATTTAGGTATACTTTTTTTTTAGTACGTTTGTTCCGTTATGGAACAGGCTAAGGTCGGAGACCATGCTGCCTTCATAATTTTTTTTTATACAACTTAGAATGGCAAACAAGCTGACGGCCCACCTGATGGAAAGTGGTAACCGTCGCCTATAGACATGAGCAGTACCATGGACATAACAGAGTATACTGTTTAGGAATGGCAACGCATGGGGGGCCATGCGTTGCCATTCCTGAGGACCCAGATGTTATTCCTCTGTACCCTGTAAATTCACGCCATATCCCACCCTTCAAACCGAAACACAGCCATGCAAACACAACCGCTTCACGGTAGAAACACGAATAGGACAGAGGTACGCAAGCAATCGACTTTTGTACAAAGTCTCCCTCTGGTATATTATACTTGGGTACAGTCTTTTCTACAAAGTCCGATCACTTCATCTGGATAGTCTGGCTGGATAAACTTGTTATCTCAATGTACCAGAAGTTGACTTTATAGCAATTAATACGCATGACCTAGTATTTCTAGCGCTACCCAGCTGTGCTTTCATGATTTGAAAGGCAAATTGTACCTGAGAAATCATTGGATGTTTACTTAGTTTCTAAATTAACTGGTGTTTAAATTAGATACGTACTAAATGGTTAAGCAATAACAGGTCAGTTTTTATTTTCAGTGGTTGATAATGGCGAAGCACTAGTAAGATATGATGGGTGAGGAAAGCAAGTCAGTTAACCCAGGATGACTATTTCAAAAAGAATTAAGAATGATGGTTTACATGGGAAATTTTTATTTATATATTTATTTATTAGTACATATATATGTGTACATGGCGGACTTAATGCTAAAAACATTCTCTCCCAGTCAACCATAGGGAAGTGTCAGAATACTCGAATACGGTACTAGTACAGATGGGCAAAGCACCGGGTTTAAACCCGGTGCTTTGGTAAAAACCCAATAAACACCCATAAACTCCCATAATCACCCAAAAAAATAGGTTTTTACGTATTTTTTTGAAAATATGTAAGTAATACCAATAAATTATTTTTATAAATTGTATTGATCAATTCTACAATATTAAATAAAACGTTAACTAATAATATTTCAGGAAATTTTAAAAATCTATATATAATAAAATGAAAGTAATTAATTTTCAGTGTTTTCATGTTGCAGTTGATCAACATGTTGGCCTTTTGCTTCCCGTAGATACTTTAAAATTTCTTCATAACACCTCGTTCGCACACATGGCCGTATATATTTAAATTCTTGAGCCACTAACAGTCCGAAATACTCATTTCTTTTATCCTCTTCTCCATAAATTAAGCATTTAGAACAGTTTGTTTCTTCTTTCAGTAAATTTTCTTTTACTTTATCCTCGTTTTTTTCTTTGTTGCGACGACGCTGGGTAAATCATCTGGACACTGGGTCTCACTATCGCCAAATATATTTGGAGATCGGCTTCGGCTACGGCTTGGCAGACATTTTTTTCTTTCTACAATTTTAAATTAAATTTATTAGAATAAATGCTTCGAACACACGCGATCTAAGTACCTTTTGTGTTTATTATACCTTACCTACCTAGGTATAAAAAGAGTACTTACGTAGATTTTCTTTTATTAACTGTTTTATACGAAGATCTTGATCTCTCAAATTAGCATCCATTTTACTTCCAGTGATTATCAACTAAATTAATAATCCACAAAGTATTAAATAACGTTTTTATGAAATATTTAGCACAAAAACAATACCCTTTAAATATCGATCGTCAGTAACTGTGGCTGACTTACCTATATTCTAGCAAGCAGGACTGCCAGATGTGAAGGGGAAATCCCCAATAAATTGTTGCATGTGACTGATGATGTGAGCATGTTCGTTTCATAATAAAAATGTTGCCAGGTAACCAAAAAGTCGTATGTTTTTGTGCGAATTACGATCATAATCTTTACGATCGTACATTAAAAAATAGACAAATAATAGTATGAGTACGATTTAAATCGTATATCTGTCAACCCTGCTAGCAAGACAGCGACAAAATCACGTTGCATAACAATGTAGCCCAAGCTTATATCTTATGAAATATACGGAAGAGATACGGACTTAGAAAAAACAGAAATGTTGTTCTTTGTGGAAGTCATTGATGAAATTCTATGTATTTTAGCCCGCAAACTTTCTTCAAACAAAAACAGCGCCATCTAGTATCGAGTTCTGTAATTATCTCTTTGTTTATGGATTTGAAGTAAGACCGCCACGCATGCAATACATTATGACTGGGGATTCCCCTATTCGTCGACGCTGAATATGAGGCGACGACAATCACTGTCAAACGTGTTCACTATTACTCTGACTCTGGTAACGTGACTTCCTGGTAACGTGTTAGGTAGGAAAAGCAGTAAAAAAGTGCATATTAAGGGAGCAGATTTGAAATAATATTTATACTTAACAAGAAATAATTAAAGGTAAGTGGATTTTTGAATGATACAATTATATCATGATCACTTAACAATTTTAACTTAAAATTAGATGTATTATTACAAGCTTTTATTTAGCTTGCGTTATGTAAATAAAAGTATGTAGGTATGTTCGTATGTTGATGCAATTATCCTCAATCCTCAACCGACTGGGATAAAATTTTCCATACACGTTTATTTTGGATGATAGTGCATAGTTAGCTGAGAGTCGTCATTGGATAATAATGGTGGATAGCCTAAGATGTGTACTAGATATTTATTTTTAACATAATATGCGTAAGTACCTAATCGAATTAAAGAAGTTGCTGAGAAAAATACAGAACAATACGATAATAAACTAGCGTCTGCGTTTAATCCTCCGAGGAGATGTAATTTTACAAAGGCTTTTTGTATTTATTTTATTATTTTTTTAATAAATTTATTGTAAATAACAAGAAATAATCATTGTAAAAAAATAGGCACTCTATTGTTGAATTTTCGTCAGACCAACTAATCATCGTTCATTTTTTTAGGTTCAATGGGGAGACCTAAAGATTTACGCATATGGGAGCACTACCGTACTTTACCAAACAAGTCTGTTTCTTGCAAGCTTTGTAATAAGGTCTACAAATTCAGTAATGCTGCCAAAATGCTTCAACATCTTATCACTTGTCCAAAATCTCCAGAAACATTAAAAGACTCTATGAAACTTATAAAAGATAGCTCGTCCAAAACCAAAATGTCTGGACTGTCAGAGATAGAGACAAATGATTCTTTTATAAGCCCCTCGTCGTCTGCTAACACTACAATAAATGCTGAGTTTCAAGACACCGATGATCATATAAAAACAGAATTAGCGAGAGCTATATTTGTAACAGGGACGCCATTATCGATGGTGCAACATCCTTTATGGATACAATTTTTCGAAAAATTGCAACCAAAATTTAAAATACCTTCACGTAAAGCTTTAGCGACAAAATACTTAGATAAAATATATAGAGAAATGCGTTTTGAGTTAAATGAGGAACTAAATGCTTGTAGTTACTTACACCTTCAGTGCGATGGCTGGTCTAATTTAAGAAATGAAGGAATAATAAACTTTCTTATATCAAAACCTCAACCTGCATACGTTAAAAGTTTGAATACAGAAAGTAATCCTCACACTAGTGAATACCTTAGCCAAGAAGTTGAAAAAGTAATGAAAGTGTATGGAGCAAATAACTTTCTTGTACTTATTGGCGATAACGCTAGAAATATACAAAAGGCATTCGAATTAACAAAACTCAAATATCCACATGTTGTTCCTCTCGGTTGCTGTGCACATATCCTTAACTTGTTGTGCCAAGATATTGTAAAGATACAAGAAGTAACTGTGTTTATTATGCAAGCCATAAATATAATAAAAACTGTTAAAAGGAGTCAACGATTAAGTTCCTTGTTGATAAAATCAAGGCAGGGTGAAGATTCTACACAAACACTAAAATTGCCTTGTGCTACAAGATGGGGAAGTCATGTTACTTCGTTAAAAAGTTTGAAAGCAAATAAGATAGCTTTGCAAATATTAACAGTTAGAGAAGATGTGGTAATTTCAAGAGATATTAAAGATTTAATTCTAAGTGATGATTTCTGGACGAAGACAGGGGAATGTATAAGTATTTTGGAACCAGTCACTGAAAGCATATTTTACTTAGAGAGCGACCAGAATCGTTTGCATCGCACATACATTACATTTAGAGATGTACAAGCTAAGATACGTTTTGCATTAAATGAGATTTCGACATTGAGCGAAGAAAGCAAACAGCAGATTCTAACATCAGTATCTTCAAGATGCAATATGGTAATGAGGCCAATACATTTTGCAGCATATATTCTAGACCCCAGGACTCTAGGAGTCGAACTTACTCAAGAGGAAGAACTTAAGGGTATGGAGTTTATCTACAATTTAAGCCAACACTTAAGTTTGTCAAATGTAATGGCAGATTTGGCGTGTTATAAAGCTAAAGAAAACTTTTGGGCCAGAGGATTTGTATGGAGCTCATTAGATAGCATTGAGCCCCTAATATGGTGGAAAGGTATTTGTGGTTCCACTGAGTTAAGCAAAGTAGCGATTCGTATTCTATCAGCTCCCTGTACTTCGGCAGCCACTGAGCGTTCCTTTAGTATCCAAGGCTACATACATAATAACAAAAGAAATCGACTTACAACTGAAAGAACTGAAAAAATTTCATTCATTTGTTATAACTGGAATCTTAAACATAAAGCTGAATGCGAGGACATTCAGTTTAATGAAGAAAATACCTTAGAAGCTTTCATTGAGCAAGTAAATGAACATAACAGTTTAGACGAAATAGAGCCTATCGAACCTATACAATTCATCGCTTGTAATAACTCTGAATCTGACAGTGATTGACTGTAGTTTTACATTTTACTTTCATCTCTTTCTTAATAAACTCAAAATCAAATTAAAAGTTTTTTATTCTGTAGGCTGCATAATAATATTGTCTATGTCCAGTATAGTGGACGTCTTGCGGCTGAGATGACGATGATGAAGTACAAAATCATAAACACCCAAAAATTTGGGTGTTTATGGGGTTTAAACCCAATAAACCCAAAACACCCGGTTTTTACCCACCAGACTTTAAACCCACCCAGGTGGATTGCCCATCTCTAGGTACTAGTAATCTACACTAATATTACAAAGAGGAAAGATTTGTATTTTTGTATGTATGTATGTTTGTAATGAATAAACTCAAAAACTATTTAGCCGATTTCAAAAATTCACCATTAGAAAGTTACATTCACCCTGAGTAACATAGGCTATATTTATTGCTAGTAAAGATTAGGGATCCTTACTAAAACGTTAGTAACGTAACTAAAGGTGTAAAAAAATGCTATAAAGTATCTTTGGTCGCGTGCGCTGCGGAAACTATTGGTGATAGAACAAAAGTATGTTCTACAATATTGAAGAAAATATCAATAACTACAAAAAACTTTGCGATACTATATGTCCAAATATTATCGTTATGTTACAATAACCACTATTTAAAATGTTGTAAAAATGTCCACCAGTGTGAAGCCGGAACCGGCTGCTAGTTAATATATATAAATAACAAATATACTTACACATATATGACATATACTATATTATACACGTAATTGAGAATAATATAAAGTACTTACTGCTCGGATAAAGTAAAAAATGAGCATGAACGTTTTTTTTTTAAAGACGGTTTAGTCGGTAGTCTCTTAATGGCATTAGGAAGCGCGTTCCAGAGTCGTGAAGAATGTAGGAGAAAAGACTTTGAAGCGAAACCAGTACGGTGAGAGGGGATACATACTTGGACAATATTACTTGAACGAAGATCATGAATCGCGTGGTGGTAGACGTAATTTTGTTTTTTTTTTTTGTTTTTCATTATTTTATCTCTTTTGCTGTGCATTATGTGTATGTTCGTATTGTAATTTGTGTGTAAAATATATATATATATATATATATATATATATATATATATATATATATATATATATATATATATATATATATATATATATATATATATATATATATATATATATATATATATAAGTTTGTTTTTAAAAATGTCCAGCGTCCGAGTGTCCTGCGTCGGAGTATACAGCATCCGAGTGTCTAGTGTCCGAGTAGCTGCTTGAACACTAGACACTCGGATGCTAGACAGTTCACATTCGGACAGTAGACACTCAGGCATTTGTCACTAGGATATTAGGCACTCCACACTTGGGCACTAAATACTCGGCACTCGGTCACTATACATGTATATTGATATTATTAGAAAAACACTTGTCCGCTTTTCCACAAAAAGTTGTTATAATAAATATCTTTCCAGTTCCGCCATTTAAGGCATTTTCAAAGATTATTTGCACTATTAATCATGTTCCTGCCTCTATCTCAATTTATTTTGGGTCGGCACAATATGTTTTTATCCATATTGCTCATAGTTTAGGCTTTTATTTTTTCAGTCGGCCATCGGCTCTCCTTTGAAAGATAGAAAGAAAGGAATAATTTAATCGAAGAAGCATGCGAACATGTACTTACAGATTGGTCCCATAGAAGTTTTATCAAAATCGGTTTAGTAATTCAATTTTTAGATCGAAATAACAAATTTTTCCATATTTTATCATAATTATTTAGGAACATGATCTTAAATTGTAGTAATTTCTAATTGTATTATGCCTTTTTAATGGAATTTAAATATAAGTATACATATAATATTATTTAAAACATTTTGTATTTTCTTTCATTCTTTATTAAAATGTTTAAAAACAGTGATACAAAGTATCACATTTTAAATAATGTGATGTAATCGATAACTATAGCAATTTAATTTGTCAATAAATTTACAAGTAACACCTAAGAACAAGGAATAACAAGTAACACGTATTAATTAAAAAGAAAAAAACAATGTCATGTTTGAAATGGTTTGATACGCCTAGCTCCCTCTGCCTTTATAAGTCGAATTTATGAATCTACCCAAGTCTACTTTCTCTTAAACGCCGAGAGTTGTGAAATTTATTTCTAACATTTGTACTAGATGGCGCTTTACCGGAAAAACTAATAATACGAAATATAAAATTTATTTTAAAAAGGTAACAATATTAATGGTGGACCAACATGAATATAAACCATAATATCGACTATCCAAATCGGTTAGAATTAGCAGAGATATTGCGTGATATATACACAAAAGTCATAACAAAAAATCGATTTCATACCTGTACTCCGTATTGAAGTCAATGAGAAATAACATTGATTTATTTACACTGAAATCAATAAGTAAAAATATACAAAACATAAAATACAAAAAATATAAACAAAATCGTCCGCGTCTGTCTATTTCTCCGTTTTTTTTCTTCTTAATTACACGTAACAGAAAATTGGATATACTTTTTATTTTTGGTTTCCAACAGAATTTAAAAAGAAGGAAATTCTAATTCTCAATTTAGTTGTATTTTTTTTTTTAATATTTGTTAGCTAAAAACTCCGTCAATTATAAACCGATTCGAAAAAATAGATAATATAATCATACCATAGATTAACCATAGAAATTTTATCAAAATTGTAATTAAATAGATAGATAGATAGATATATCGTTTATTTGTTTGTTACTAATCACACACAACATGTACATAAGAATAGATAATACATAAAACAACATAAGATTTATAAAATTGTGTTATTATATGTGATCTGCAGCAATACAAATGAGATTTATTAGTAAAAAAAATAACTGTAGTTTCTTAACTAGTATTTTATTATAGTTTTATAAGAGTACAGTAATTATGGTTTTAGAACTGGGCTCCTAAATAGATTAATATAATAACCTGTGTTAATTGTTTCAGTAGTTTAGCTTTGAAATAAAAACAACCGGTTTTGGCACAATTGAAATCTTTTTTGTATGGAATGCGGTCTTAAATTCTGTACGCATTCGTCTTAAATGTCTCGTTTTTAGAAATATTTAAAGTAAATAATATATTATGAATCCGAAAATTAATAATAATAATATAATAATAATTGTTTTAAATGAAACTTTGTTATCATCATCAGCCAGTGGCTATCCACTGCTGAATATAGATCTATCCCATAAGTCTATGGCAGTCTATGGCATATAGTTAGGCGACTGCTTAACTGCTTAAAAGGTTCCGAGCCACCTGCATTCACTGATTCCCTGCAATGCATTAGAAGTCGTCGCACCGTCTAGTGGGGAGTCGTCCTAAACTATGTTTGCCTGTGTTGGGATTATATCCCAACTAAATACATAAAATGCTTTATATACCGATTCATGCGGGAAATGCCGCGAGATACAGTTAGTATTTTTAATAAAAAAAAACTACATTAAAAAATCTTAAAATCTTTAATCCTTATAGTATCACAAAATCAGACAGCAGTCGATATTATCCAGTTAGTGTACGAAGCGACGTTGGTGCTGACTCCGGGGTAAAAGGCCTGAGCGCATCCTTGACCCCAGGAGACGATACCAACCAGTATGTTCTGGTAGTACAGAGGACCCCCAGAGTCACCTTGGCACGCGTCACGACCCCCGACGTCTAAAATGCCCGCGCAGATCATATTCTCTGTCACTGATCTGCGAGGGAACAGTGTTTGGTATCTTTCATGGCATAATTGGCGATTGACGGTGAAGATTTCTACATCCTGAAGAATAGGAGAAGCGGACCCGCCTTGCTGTAAAAAATGGTGTAAAAAATCTTAATCCTCAGGAATGGCAACGCATAGGGAGTATCATGGGCGAAACAGTATACGCTGTTATGTCCATGGAACTGCTCATGTCTATAGGCGACGGTTACCACTTTCCATCAGGTGGGCCATCAGCTTCTTTGCCATTCTAAGTTGTATAAAAAAAAATTGACGTAACATTATTTCTAACCATCTTGTTAACAAAAGAAGTTTTTAGAAACTGTTTACACTTTTGAATCGTCATTTTTTTTATTGTTTAATGCTTATCAAACACAAGGCATGCTGTGGTTGCCTATAAATGTAAGAACAGTTAGATTTAATCTACCAGTGTATTGTACTAAAATGTTTAGCTGTATCTTATGTTGGTAATCCTATAAATAAATAAATAAATGCAGGGTTGGGAAAGTTGTTATCTGTTGAGAAGAGGCTGCGAGAAACTCAATAGTTACTATTTTAAATCTCTATTAACATTATATGTATTAATTTAAATGTACTATGTCTCAAATTCGTTAAAAGTCCGTTCATGATCGACTAACACCATACACATTTGTCATTCAAGTAAACGTTTAGTGCGCAATAGTCTTTGTTCAATAAGCGTTTTTTAATAACAGATTTAAACTTATTAAAAGTCAGATTTAAAATATATTTCGGGATTTTATTATAACATGCTCATGGGCAGGCTCCTTAAAAAGACGTATATCTATTTTTAGATATGTCTTTGCTCATAGTTGAAAGCCCCAGTCCTGATCCTGGAATGGGCACGCTCTTTCCCCTCCTCTAAATACGCCAGTGCAAATCGCGCTTAAACAGCCGAACGGATTTGAAAAAAAATTCGAACGTCTAGTGTATATCCTAACTTAACGTATGGGATACTTTATTTTCACATGAATGAAGTAGCCGAATACAGCATCATCATCAGCTATTAACTGTCCACTGCTCAACATAAGCCTCCTCCATAAGGAAGGTGTCGCCAGTAGTTTCCACGCTTGGCAGGTGGGTTGGCAACCGCAGTTTGGCTTTGACGATGTTTTAAGAGGGTGTTCATACTTCGACCTAATAGGGCATATTGCAAGCGATGTGGTTGTCAAACTCGATTGCTAACAATCCCTTTCCCTCCCAGCTCTAGGTGTTCTTTACTGATTCCTCTTAACATTTCATAATCCTAGCTTGAGTATCAGGCGATTGGTGCGATTGTGCGGCACTTTTTTCCATCATCAGCGTCATATCAGCCTTTAACTGTCCACTGCTGAACATAGGCCTCTCTTTTGGAGATTTTGCCTGTAGTTACCACGCTTAGCAACCAGATTGGCAACCGCAGTTTGGCTTTGATGATGTTTTAAGAGGGTGTTCATACTTCGATTATAGACATTAAGTTCCTTTAGTCGTGACTTACTATATCCACGGGAAAGGAAGATGTGGCCCATTCTATGCCGTGACCACATCGCTGTATTATATAATTCCACGCAGGATACAGCTAGTAAGTAACTAAATACACTTACAGAAGTAGCACCCCAACCAGCATGCACCACAGGCAAGTTATCAGGTAGTTCGAAGCTTTGGATGACTATAGCCACTGGTTGGATGACATTGCTGAACGTCAACCTATCGGCCAATCGGACCACACTGATGTCACCATCTAGGGTTATACTGCTGTACGAAGGATGGTTAATAGCCGCTTCGACGTATACGATAACTCCACCTGAGTTTCGGTTTGTTGTGCCAGCCCTGATACGGCGGCTGTTCACATCGAAGAAACTGTAAGGAGAAGATTCATTTTAATATCATCGTAATTAGGGGGGAAAGGGGTTGTTAGTAATGGAGACTGAGAATCCCATTGCTAGCAATATACCCAACCAGGTCGACCTCCTCGTGGTTCCCCCTGGAAACTATCATAGTTAATTCCGGATGAATTCATCATGATGGGCTAACTGGGCTGTTTTCATTCTCATCTATCACCCTTCACTGGTGCTCCGGCAGCGTATCCTGTTAGCGCAGGCGGGGTTACCATACCATTTTCCCCCATAAAAAAACATTGTAATTATTAATCCTACTACTACTACCTCTCCCTTTATTACTATTTTCCTGTGTTCTCTCTTAATTTTTCTTCGTCATTTTCTTCTTTTATGTGTGTGCTATTAATTATGTGCTTTAATGTCTAATTTGATGCGATTTTTTCTGATCTGCGTCTGGCAGTAAGAATTTAATAATAAGATAAGAGAGATAATGGTATGACAAGGACAATGATGAAGAGGTCTGGTGATTAACTTACATTCCTGCGAAACAGTGTGCAGCAGACAGTACGTAGAGTGAGTTGAGCACGCTGGCGGCACAGGACTGTGACCAGATCAACAATGACCTGAACTCCACTTGAACAATGGTCGGGTATTCCTCGATCGTCGTGTCATTGCCCCCCACGATTCTATTCTGTTCTGATGCTGTGCAAACAGCTGTTGAAAATATTTATATGGTGATATCAAAATTATTGGAAATTTCCCATGGGTGTCGTAAGGAGCTATTATAGGAATTTAATGGTCGAAAGATAAACAGTAGCGTTCTTCTTAAGCCTAACTGCGGTTGCCAACCCGCCTACTAAACTTGGCTACTACTGGTAAACGCCCCAAGCGTAATACGAAATAACCAGCCAAAATACGGGAAACTACACTTTCATGTTTCTGCCGTGATGCAATTGTATTTGCATGGTTGTGTTTCTATTTGAAGATTAGGATGTGGCAATGAAATTACGAGGTACAGAGGACAGTCCTCAGTGATGGCAATGCATGAGGAGTATCATGGGCGTCACAGTATACTCTGATATATCCATGATACTGTTCACGTCTATAGGTGAAATTTACCACTTTCCATCACGTAAACCGTCAGTTTGTTTGCCATTCCTTAGACTTATCGTATAAAATAAAACTAGGATGATTATAAACAAATCACGGTCACCAAACTAGCTTGTGTTAGGAATATCAGACAACAATCGTCTGAGATTGTAGCATTAGATTAGATAGGTGTATTTCTATGCTAGCTTTTACCTGCGACTTCGTCTGCGTTATCCGTAAAAGTAGCCTATACTCTTCTCCATCCCATATAATACCTAAGTGTATACTAAATTTCATTGTGATAAATTCGTTAAGGGGCTATAAAGTAATGCTGGTTATTTAATTATGAAATTAAATTTATTTGCCAGAAACATTGTAGATAAGCACATTTTATCTACAATGTTTCTGGCAAATAAATTTCACATGAAAATAAATAAATTTCACACAAAAACAAATAATCTTGTAAACTTGCTGTGGCATTTGTCAAGTTTACAAGATGTCCATTATGTGTCGCCACATCAAACGGTATGCAAATATTAATAACTAAATTTACATAGTTATATTTATTTAATTTTTAATTACTTACTACATTATACAATACACAATACACAAAAATCACTACTGGTACCAAGTGCACACTTTGGGTCATGCATTATAAGCAATCAATAAATCTATTATAAAATAAATAAAAATGATAGAAAAGTTTTAGCTTATTTTTTTTTTGTATCTACAACTTAGAATGGCAATCAAGCTGACGGCCCACCTGATGGAAAGTGGTAACTGTCGTCTATAGACATGAGCAGTACCATGGACATAACAGAGTGTACTGTTTCACCCATGATACCCCCCATGCGTTGCCATTCCTGAGGACTCAGGTGTTATTCCTCTGTAACCTGTAAATTCACGCCATAGCCCACCCTTCAAACCGAAACACAGACATGCAAACACAACTGCTTTACGGTTGAAACATAAATGGGACAGAGGTACCCAAGCAAACGACTTTTGTACAAAGTCTCTCTTGACCACTGTTATTACTACCAATTATCTTCGAGTGTTGGCAGTCATTATTTGAAATTGTTGGAGAACATTATTTCAAAATTGTTGGAAGACATTAATTCCACTGCTATTAGTATATGTAATACTAATAACAGCGGATTTAATCAAAATAATTTTAATCAAATAACCAGCGATATGGACTTCCGCAAGATAACACTTCATTCAGTAAAATATCTATAACGTAATAAACAAACACACTTTCATATCTATAATATAATAATAGTAAAGATTTTCTCGACAATTTTAAACGACAAAACTAAATCACCGTACCTTTAAAACAATATATCACAAAATTACAAAAATTAACATACAAAGTAAAATTTATTTCCCTTTTCTTTGAAAAAAAAAAAACTTTAATTTTGACCAAAACTAAATTTAAAAAATATTAAGTTAAAAAATAACCATGTAATTAGACACACAGTTAACCAGGCTATCACATATGACACACTCAAATAAGTAGTCCTATTAATACTTCATCTTTTCAAAGTTGGTTAAAAACAGTACCTACCTGCCAAGATCAGTACACTCAAGATTAGTTTTAATGTCATTGTTATCGTATACACGTTATTTAAAGCGTGAACAATTAAAATATAATATTATAACGTCTCACCTTTTTATAAACTTTATTTTATCAAATTATTATCCTTATCGATATTTATTGCATACAATAAATTCGTACGACAAGTTGTGCTGTCGTCACAAACCGACGATAAATAATATCTAGTTTCCACCATCTTATCTCGTTAGCTACTGAATTAAATTAATCTATATAATAATGCCACTATGAATAATCTTTTTTTATGAATCATTAACAATTTATTAATGGTGGTGTTATTGATGTAAAAATTGTAAAACAATCACGTAAATCAGTCACGTAACGATTTGTTTTTATAGTACAGGGGCAAACGAGTTTTTCGCCCGCAACATCAGAGTTATTGCAGGTGTGCTACAAACATTTCAATAGGGAATATGCTGTTTTCTTGAAGGATACGATGTCGTATTGACTAAGAAATACAATAGAATGGTTGAGCAGGTAATATTTTTTAAAATTATACTATTATAATAATAATAATAATAATAAATCTCTTTATTTTCAGGTATATATCCATAGTTTACATTTTTACATTATTAATTAAACAAACTATTATTATTATTCTTAAAATATACATTAATTATAAAATACCAATTTAAATTATTTTATTATAAAATCTCTTGTCGTCAGGTATGCTGTGAGGAATACAGTCTTTACAATATGATTACTTGTTGTCATTAATCTGTCATGAAATTTTGCCTTATAATTACGTAAAATAGCAAAAAAATCATTAACCCTGTTCTCTGCAAACATGCCAGACACACTATACCGCCATGGCAAGTTGAGCATCGCTCGGAATGCGTTATTGTATTGCACACGCAGTGTGTTATAAGCTCTCTTCGTATAACTATACCATAATTGGTTGGTGTAAAAAGCCTGACAATAAGACTTAAACAATGTCAATTTGACTAGCTTCAAACAGTGGTTAAATCGTCTAGCCAGCATATTGCTTCTACATGCAATGTTACGTCTTTGTCTCTCCAGATCGCTATCATCTATCTATTAACTTAACCCTTCTTTGCATGATTTTTTTATTGGTAAAATAAATCAAGGTTGATTAGATAGATAATAAATCAAGATAGATTCATGTTCAAAATTAAAGCAAAAATGGTTAAAAAAATAAATTTGCTAGCTAAGTTTTTTTCTGCAATGGACATTAAAAAGGTATTCAGACACGATCAACTTAAAGTGAACTTGTTATTTTAAATAATTTTGGGGCATTCAATGTTATGATGGAAATTTACACCATTATACAAAGAAGGGTTAAGAACGTACACGAATTACATAGATAAATTTCAATAAGGTATTTCCAAATAAAACCAAAAATAAACACTTTAAATGTAACAATGTTTATAAATTTTTAATAACAATTATTTATTAACATTTATAAAAATAATAAATACAGTTAATTTTGATGAGAACTGATATAAAAGGCGGCCTTATCGTCAAGCAGTTTGCTTCCAGATAACCTTTGGGTAAAGGACATTCATAAACCTATTATTAATATTTCCTAATATATTTTCAATAAACTTCAAATAATGAGGAAGTTGTCAATTTGACTACATTCCCTTTACCGCAGAACGCCGAATTAAACCGAATTAGATTATATTTTTTTTTTTTTAAATATTATTAAACGTGTTTATTGCACAAAAAGAAATAACAGAGAGTTAAAGAAATAATCCCTTAATTCCAATAAAGTGTATGGATTCGGCATTTTTAGGTAATTTTAACTCGACTCTATTATAAAATATCATTTGTATATGAATTACAACAAAAAAATATAATTAAAATATTGAGGTCGATTTCGGCCGATTATCAAATATTGACCCATATATTTTTTTTAAAGATATTATTAAACGTGTTTAATGCACAAAAAGAAATAACAGAGAGTTAAAGAAGTAATAGAGAACAGGGATATCATTTATACCAAAATTTATATATTTTTTTATGTAACTTAGAATGGCAAACAAGCTGACGGCCCATTTGATGGAAAGTGGTAATCGTCGACTATAGACATGAGCAGTACCATGGACATAACAGAGTATACTGTTTCGCCCATGATACCCTCATGTGTTGCTATTTCTGATGAATAAGGTGTTATGCCCCTGTACCCTGTAAAATCACTGCCGGGGATATGGCAGTGATTTTACAGGGTAAAATCCCCCCTCCCCCCCACCCTTCAAACCAAAACACAGCCATGCAAAAAGGCGGACTTCCCTAACAATAAAAAATAAGTTATATTATGTAAAGAAAGCATTACTGTCAATCGCCAAACTAGGTCAGACCTGTATCTTGGTGACTACCTTTATATTTATTTAGTGGTATATTATATTTACCGTATGGTCCCGGTATAGAATGGACCACCCGTTCCTTTCCCGTAGCTGTCGTAAGAGGCGACTAAGGGAGCTTATGGCGGAGGGATGGGCAGCAGCGACCCACTTAAAACATCTGTAAAAGCACAACTGCGGTTGCCAACCCGCCTACCAAGCGTGGCAATTACTGGCAAAACTCCCCTTATGGGGAAGGCTTATGTTCAACAGTTACAGTTAAGGGCTGAAATAATAATAATAATAAATATCTTAGTTCCCGCGTCACGTAAATATTACTGCATCAAAGTGGATGCAGTATTCCTGAAGGTGTAACTTTAAATCTGGTATATGTTTTATTATTCATTGATACACCATCTAAAAATGGTATTATATAGTTCATGCCTTTTTCTACTTCCATTCCAATCACGAAGTGTCGGGCAAAAACTTCGTAATATCTAAAATCTAATCTAATTACGTTACATATTTTTTTAAATAGTTTTTCCTTATTTACTTTTTATTTATCTTGAACGCCAACTATCTATGCGTTAACATTCTAAATAAACAATAAAGAAAGCCAGTTTTGTATATATATTTACTTATTATGATTTTATCAAAAGGGGACTTGTACAAAACTTATACAAAAGTCATCTGCTTGGGTGTCTCATTCGTGTTTTGACCGTGAAGCAGTTGTGTTTGCATGGCTGTGTTTCGGTTTGAGGAGTGTGATATAGTAATAAAATTACAGGGTAGATAGGCATAACACCTGAGTCCTCAGGAATGGCAACGAATGGGGGGTGGGGGGGTATCATGGGCGAGACAGTTTACTCTGTTATGTCCATGGTACTGCTCATGTCTATAGGCGACGGTTTTCACTTTCCATCAGGAGGACCGTCAGCTTGTTTGCCATTCTAAGTTGTATAAAAAAATATATATAGAAATGCGCTTGAACAATCTTCTAATTTAATTTAGTTTTCTTTAAATACATTCTCGATTTTACCCGCGACCTCAACAATATACAAGATATGTTTACTAACCGGTATAAATAGGTAGTCCTTCTCTGTCCCATATAGTAAATGTATACCAAATTCCATAGTAATTAATTAATCTATTAAGGCACTAAAAGGTAACACAAACAAACTTATTAATTTTTAATATAAATAAGGGTTTTGAATGGATGATAATGAAATAGTAACCCCGCCTGCGCTATCGGTACACGCTGGCGGGGCACCAGTGACAGATGATAGGTGAGAATAAAAAGGCAGGTCAGTTGACCTATCGTGACCATTTGCACGAGAATTAACTATGATGGTTTCCAGGGGAAACCGACTGAAGGTCGACCTGATAGGGTGTACCTATTGTTAGCAAAGAGGTTGTTCGAACCCATTACTAACAATTCCTTCCCCCCCCCCCTCCTTTTACTTTATTAGGTCTAGTATCAATGTTGTACTCGTGTTGTAACTAACATCTATCAACAACATCTATTATTTTTTTACTTTTTTTTTAACATCTATTTTTTTCTGTCTCCACCAATTCACAATTTCTCTCAGACATTGCAAAGGTTGACTGGAAGAAATCCTTTTTCCCTTTAAGTCCATTGTACTCATTCTTTTCTTAAGAACTCTGTATCCCATAATTTAAGACTTTACTGTACAATAATGTATCACGAACAAACAAACATCAGCAAATAATCATTTTTATTTTGTGTTACTGTTCTTAATCATTGGATCTTCGCGTATTATATAGGTATAATAAGATTTATTTATTTATTTATTTTATTTATTTGTTATATGTAACAAAAAACTTATCCCAAACCTTTTATTCATGAAACAGAATAACTTGTCCTAATTTAAAGTACAAGGCTGATCATCATCATCATCATCGTCATATCAGCCTTTAACTGTACACTGTTGAACATGAGCCTCCCCTTGGAGGGTTTTAGCCAGTAGTTGCCACGTTTGGCAGGCGGGTTGGCAACCGAAATTTGGGTTTAGTGATGTTTTAAGGGTAAATTTTTTAAATTTTGCGTTGTATCATTGTTATTTTTGTAGACTCATCTAAGTTTTTGAAATTAATAGGCTATAGCCTATGCTACTCGCTGGTAATGTAGCTTTCTATAATTTAAAGGATTTAAAAAATTGTTAAATAGTTTTTTAGTTTATTCATTACAAACAAACAAACTATCAATTTTTTCCTCCTATAATTTTAATATAGAGTATAGATAGTATAAAAATACAAATAAAAATTCTTACAACTGATGACGTTGATAAAATCAACTTTTCCGTGAATTTAAAAAAAGAAGAAAAAAGTCATTATTATTTTATAGTGTCATATAATTAGCATCATAAAGTTATATAAAACTACCAAACATACAAAAATTAAGGTGGATTCAGAATAAGACAACAAAGGTTATAAAGTAAGTGTTAGCATGGACTAAAAGAGGAGATATACAGAAAGAGCATACAATAATACGATACAATAGAAAGATGAACGTTTAGATTAAAATAACAATCGTTACAGCAAAAAAAAAAAATAGAAAGACGACGGTTCTGGTATTTGTGCTATTCTCACACTATTCTTGTTTTGAGTTCTTAAGCGTTGATTCATTATCACTGTTGACTTTTAATATGTTCTTTGCACACTGGCTTGTTGATTTATTATTACCCATTAATAAATACACATTCTAAAATCGACCTGTTCGAATTTCGAAAAGGCATTTCACAAACGTGTACTCGCAATATAATTGGATTGTTCTTAGAACATTCTATAAAATTGTTCGCGAATATAAACGAGCAAAGAAAGAATATTACTTTTGGAAGAATAAGGATATAGTGAGAGTTCGCTCTTTTAACTGTGATTTTAGTGTGATTCCACCTTAAAAGAACATAAATAATTCTTAGCGGAAGCAGTTGAGCAATTAAAGTTTTACTCAAAATTGGAGAAGTAAAGGAAGAAGAATAAGGTTTGGCTAATTTGATCTTACTATAAATCCACCAATCATTTCCACCAAAATATTTAAACATATTTGAAAATTAAATTAGACGGCTGTGTCTAAAATCCAGTTGGTGTAGGGGGCGACAGCAGTGCTGACACCAGGGTAGGTGGCGTTCGCACATCCGTGGCCCCAGGAGACGACTCCGATGATGATGTCACCATAGTACAAAGGACCTCCGGAGTCACCTTGGCAGGCGTCACGACCTCCGACGTCCAGGAGACCAGCGCAGATCATATTGGGGGTTACGAGTACGGGATTGGGAAGAGTCTGGTAGCGCTCCCGACAAAGGTCATTGTTGACGGTGTAAATTGTGACATCTCGGAGTTGTGGGGACAAGCTACCGCCTTGCTGTAAATAAATAATATTAAATATTAATCAATACATCATAAAGATTATTTTATTATTATATATTATTATTAGCCTTTTTTCATGGTTTGCGGTACAGTATTTAAGGCATCCCGTCCTCGCTATTGGATATGGGTGACGGAATGCCTATACGAGAGGGTACATGGTGGGCGCAGTTTAGACGCAATATTTGAGGAGCATTAGGAAGGTACTACGGCCGGATACTGCAACAAATGAGTATGTGGTCGGCCCCCAAACTGGCGACCTCTGCTGTCTACCGGTCCCCAATTCGAGGTACGACCGATCACCGGCTTATTATTAGCCTTGTAGGTCTCGACATAAGCTACCCTTTCCTTTCCAGTGAGTGTTGTAAGAGACGATTAAAGGAGCTTATGGTAGATGGATAAAGGGACGTACAGTCCTGTACTAGTCACATGCCTTTGACACATGTAATCTATTTCAGGTCACCGTTTTTGTGAAGATCTACCGTCACTGCAAATACAAGATCCTATCGGAACCTTATTCAATATAGTATATCGGGGTAATAATGAATTGTTAAAAATGGGAATTAGTACCCCATTGTTAGCAATACACCCTATCAGGTCGACCTCCTCGCGGTTTCCCCTGAAAAACATCATGGTTAATTCTTGTTGAATTCGTATTCGATTCTAATCTATCGTGAAACTATTGTGTTCTATTCCAAGTGAATCCATCACGATAGGCTAACTGGCCTGTTTTTTCATCCTCACCTATCATCCCTCACTGGTGTCCCGCCAGCGTATACCGTTAGCGCAGACAGAGTTGCCATTCCATTATCATTCATTTAAAAATAAATAGTATATCTATGCCAAATTTCATGATGATTCCTTAAACGCTAAAAGACAACAAATAAACTCACTGTTACATTTATGATATTAGTTAGTATTTATACAAAACTTACAGAAGTTGTACCCCATCCGGCGTGGATGACAGGCTGATCATCAGGGATCACTGCATCCTGAGCGATGATAACACCCTGCTGTACTACAGGACTGTAGACCAGAGGTTCAGCCAGCCTGACCACGGTGATGTCACCATCGTATCCTAGTGCCCCATAGCTGGGATGGTTGTGCTCCTGAGCTACGTTGGAGATGATGCCACCAGTGTTGCGGAAAGTAGCGCCGGCTCTGACTCGACGGTTTGTAGGGGAGTAGAGGCTGGAAGTTTATTCATATAGTTAATATCATACCACCAGAGTGACGTTTATCTTTTTAATATATAAAAATCCTATGTCACAATGTTTGTTCACACTAATGTTCGAAACCCTGCAACTGAGGGGAAAAAGGATTGTTAGCAATGGAGTTTGACAGCCCCATTGCTAGCAATATACCTTATTAGGTCGACCTCCACGTGGTTCCCCCTGGAAACCATCGTGAACAATTTTTATTGAATTCGTCATGATGGGCTAACTGACCTACTTCATCCTCACCTATCATTCTTCACTGGTGCCCCGCCGGTGTATACCGATAGCGCGGGTAGGATTACCATTCCATTATCATCCATTAAAAAAAAAACCCTGCAACTGTGTCTAATTTCAAGTAATCATAGCGTTTGCTTGGGCACCTCTGCACCATTCGTGTTTCTACTGTGAAGCAGTTGTGTTTGCATGGCTGTGTTTCGGTTGGAAGGATGGCATATGGCAGTGATTTTACAATGTACAGAGGAATAAATCTGAGTCCTCAGGAATGGCAACGCATGGGGGATATTATGGGCGAAATCGTATACTCTGTTATGTCCATGGTACTGCTCATGTCTATAGGCGACGGTAACCACTTTCCATCAGGTGGGCCGTCAGCTTGCTTGCCATTCTGAGTTGCATAAAAAAAATCTATTACTACTTATTCAGAATAGGAGATGGCGTGAAAATATATACATACTAATAAAATATATAAATACTAACGCTCCAGTAAAACAGTGAGCAGCCGAGAGTACGTTCAAAGAGTTGAGAATGTTGCATGCACAGGACTGTGACCAGGCACCTGAGACCACACCAAGGAATTCCACTTGCGCAATCGCGGGATATTCCTCGATAGTAGTCAATTCACCGCCAACAATACGGGTCGGCTTAGCATAACATGCTGTACCTGAAACCGGGAAGTGAAATTAGTACTTGGATTTCAAGATAATCTCGTTTTTATCTCTCTTTCTTATCACTGTATGTAACTTCTTTATATAAATTTTAAATCGTTAGCCTTTTAAGAGTCTTCTATCAGTGAAACTAAACATTTTTCCTAAAAAACATGGGCCTTAAAATGTCAAAGAATTCAAATTTCCATACTCACTTGGTAGTATAAGAGACTAAATTTTTTGTCGTTTTACGGCCAATATTATTTCTTAATAATCGTATTTAGATTCATTTGCCATTGGTATAGAATAGACCATTTTCTTTTTCCATAAAAGTCGTAAGAAGCGATTAAATAAACTTAATGGGGAGCGGGACACTGCTCCCCATTAAGTTTATTAAAATATCACTAAAGCCTAATTCCGCTTGCCAACCCATCTGCCAATCGTGGCAACTACTAACAAAACTCCCCTTTATGAGGGACGTCTATGTTCAGCAGAAGACAGTTAACAGCTGTTATGTTATAATGCTGTGTGGTCTCGCCATAGGATTGATCACCTCTTCCTTTCCCAATGGCGTTGAAAGAGGTGACTAAGAGAACTCAATAATCGAGGGATGGGCAGCAGCGTTCCTTTTATAACATCACTAATAATCTAACTGTGGTTGTCAATTCGCTTGCCAAGCGTGGCAACTACTGGCAAAACTCCCCTTATTAGGAAGACTTATGTTTAGCAGTGGACATTTAAAAAAAGGGCCAACCTTTAAAGAGGGGCAATTATTGTACACTTAAACGTGTCTTTGCGAATTTTTTTTTATAACAGAGGGAGAAAACGAGCATGCAGCTTAAATGGTACGTGATCACCCAGTGATCACATACCATTTAAGTGGCAGCATATCTGCAATACCAGAGGCATTGCAGATATGCTGCCAACCTAAAGTTGAAACCTTCGCTTGCATCCTATGGTGGGCTTTAGACAATACTAGAGTGGGCACGGTCCACACGACCCCCCTTAAAGATCTATGATGGACCTTAACAAACACCTACCTGCTAACAGCACCAGAGACAAGACCAGAAGCCGCGCCATTTTGTCAAACACCAATAACAAAATGGATTATTTACCCGGATGTGTCAGCTTTATACTGACATAATTTCTTATCGTATTATTATAAAGGCTTACAGATCATGCACGTTTATTGAATCCAGTAGTATACAAATTGTGGTAATAAAAATCGAGCGAGAACGTATCCGACGCTTTATAAGGATTCCGTAGTATTTAATCGAATTACTCATATCGCTTGTGACTAAAAATTTTTATTGAAAATTATGATAATTAAATGTACGTTTGCTTAAAATTGAATAACTTTTAGGCCATTCGCGAGTTTAGATATTTGATATTTTCGAATTTTATTTGTATTTTCATTTGTAGAGTTTTGGGAACTATTAATCAAAATACAAATATAAATAATATTAAAAAATATTACATTATTTTTAATTACTTGAGACGAGTTATGAAAATGAACGACTAAAAAGATTTTTAATGGATATAATTATATACGCTGAGAAATGATAGGTGAGAATTAAAAGACAGGTTAATTAGCCCATCATGATGAATACACCTGAAATTTAGTGCGATGGTTTTCAGAGGGGAACCACGTGGAGGTCGACCTGATAGGGTATATTGCCAGCAATGGGGCTGTTGAACCCATTACTAACAATCCCTTTCCTCCCTTCTTCTAGACCAGAGATGTTAGTAAATTGTAATAGTAACCTTTTAACTAGATAATGAGTTAAAAGTTAAATTAAATATTCGATTTTAACGGAAACTCCAATGATTAATTGTTTTGGTAAGGCGGTATACATCTTCAATTTTTGACAATTTTTTTTGACAGACAGAATATTTTTTTTTATTATTTCAGCCGTTAACTGTCCACTGCTGAACATAAGCCTTCCCCATAAGGGGAGTTTTGCCAGTAGTTGCCACGCTTGGCAGGCGGATTGGCAACCGATGCTTTTAGAGATGTTTTAAAAAGGACGTTGCTGCCCATCTTTCGTCCTTCCTTAGTCGCCTCTTACTACACCCACGTGAAAGGAAAGGAAGGGGTGGCTCATTCTATGCCGGGGCACACATGGGGACACATAGGTCACTTTTTACCCAGAGGCAGACTTTGTACAAAAGTCGATTGCTTGGGTACCTCTGTCCCATTCGTGTTTCTACCGTGAAGCAGTTGTGTTTGCATGGCTGTATTCGATTTGAAGGGTGGGATATGGCGTGAATTTACAGGGTACAGAGGAATAACACCTGAGTCCTCAGGAATGGCAACGCATGGGGAGTATCATGGACGAAACAGTATACTCTGTTATGTCCATGGTACTGCTCATGTCTATAGACGACGGTTACCAATTTCCATCAGGTGGACCGTCAGCTTGTTTGCCATTCTAAGTTGTATAATAAGAAAAGATAAAGTCGTGAAATAAAGCTAGGAATTAATAGTCCATAGCGACCAAAACTTTAAACAGGCACGGAACTCTAATAATATGTGTCTGATAGGCAAAGGTTTTATATTTCATCACTATTATAATCATTATACCTATTAGGTAATACCTATAGATAAGGTAAATAGCCGTCTTAGTTATGTATATTTTCTTTTGAACATTGTACATACATTTTGTATGTATTTTCATGCTAATTAAATTAAATAATAATACATAATAATAATTTACTTCTATTTTTGTTTTAATGGGTGAAAATGACATGGTAACCCCGCCTGCGCTATCGGTATACACTGGCGGGGTACCAGATAGAGATGATAGGTGAGGATGAAAAGGCAGGTCGGCGGGCACATCCTGACGAATTCAACGATAAATTAGTTACGATAGTTTCCAGGGGGAACCGCGCGAGGGTCAACCTGATAGGGTACATTGATAGCAACTAGGACAAACCTCCCCATTACTAACAATCCCTTCTCCCCTTTTAAAATATTTGTAACTCTCTTAAGTACATCATAATATGTTCTGGATTTGGAGAAACACGAAATGTTCCACTCAACTTACCTATTTATAAGGGGTGGAGTGAAAGGGATTGTTAGTAATGCAGACTGCCAGTCTCATTATTAGCAATATACCCTATCAAATCGACCTCCACGTGGAAACCATCATGCTGAATTCCGAGTGTATTCATCACGATAGGCTAACTGACCTACCTTTTCATTCTCGCCTATCATGCCTTACTAGTACCCCGCCAACGTATACCGTTAGCAAGGGCAGGTTACTATTCCATTATCATCCATTAAAATAAATCTGTTAGGCACTAGTGGAGAATGAAACAATGAGGGTGCGGCCAGAACAGTTGGTCCATGATGACGAATCGAAAAGAACTACAGTGGTTTTCAGGGACAAAATGGTCTAGCTAATATTTTTTTTTATACAACTTAGAATGCCAAACAAGCTAACGGCCCACCTGATGGAAAGTGGTAACCGTCGCCTATAGACATGAACAGTACCATGGACAAAACAGAGTATACTGTTTCGCCCATGATACCCTCCTATACAATGCCATTTCTGAGGACTCAGGTGTTATTCCTCTGTACCCTGTAAATTCACGCCATATCCCACCCTTCAAACCGAAACACAGCCATGCAAACACAACTGCTTTACGGTTGAAACACGAATAGGACAGAGGTACCCAAGCAAACGACTTTTGTACAAAGTCTCCCTCTGGTAAAATTTAGACATCGATAAATTGAATCAAAAATTAACTCTCTTAAGTGACCGCCATATACCAACCACCTTCGTGGTAATCTGTAAATATTTAATTCAGGTTTGCATGTTTCGTTGTATTATTAATATTAGACAAAATCAGAAGTATTAAGTGATTAAGATTGTCTATCTATTTCTATTTCAACTTATCTACCAGCTTATATTTATAACAACATAGTAAATAGCAAAACTAGTTCGCAATATTAAACAAATACATATCTCTCTCTCTCTCTTCAGTGGTACACTCTTGACATAGTGCTCGTAGTTTTTATAATGATAGTGGATCGTCGATGAAGGCCTTCTTCGCGATTGAGGTCCTCGCAATGCGTCTCCATCTACTTCTGTTTCCGCCGAGCGAGAGCATTCCACAGTAGACTGTTGTGTGGCCGCTTTGATGAGGTCAGTCCATCGCGTTGGTGAAAACGTTTGCCTTGTACCGGCCCTTGGACAATTAGACGTTCCATACAATTTACATTCCGGATGACATGGCCGAAGTATTTCCCAAGAGACTACAGCATGGGATTCTTCAAAAGGAGGGTAAAGAGATTTCTTCAGGGTCGGCAACCCGCCCGTAATACCTCTGGTGTTGCAGGCGTTCATAGGCTACGGTAACCGCTTACCATCAGGTGGGCCGTATGCTTGTTTGACACCTCAGTGGTATAAAAAAAAATTCATATTTGAACAGTCGACGATAATCTCTGATTTTCAGTTCGTTATACATATACATACATTAAAATTGAAAAAAACAAATTTCATTCACTGCATTTCAATCAATATTCTTAAACGGGCAGTTATAACGGATTATTTATCACAGATTATTGTGATTATCTGTTACTGCCATATATTTGGTGGGCAATAAAAAGATTTTGTGATAGTCTGTAGTTATCATTGGGTATTTCACAAGATACATAACTTTTATCTAATAAATCCCACATATATGAGCTTCCGCCTTTTTTTAAGTATTTAGGTACCTACTTGTAATAAGAATTTGAGAGATCTCAGGTGTCCTTTATTTAGAATAGAATAGAAAATAATTACTGCCAGAAAAACACTATAACAACCGAAAATACATATATAAGAAGTGTCTCATATTAGTCTAAAGAACTGGCTCAACTGATGCTGAGTGTCCCAGTGCAATGTGAACAGCTGCACCGCGCTAGTTTTCAGCCATTAACAGCTCTTAACAAAATACGGCAAAAATGCATATAAGTACAACTGTAATTAGGATTTGATAGATACACTAAAACAAATGCATTGTAACATGTATAAATTCAACATGGCAATCGTATGGTATGCATGAATATAGTATAGAGAAAATGGAAAGTATAAAATATATGTATATATAAATAAAAGATATTATATGAATTAAGAAAAAAATCTGTGAAGGCTTTTAATAAGAGCAATAGAATACAGAGTGATAATTTTTAGAAATTTTGTCTCTACGTCGATCTGTATGTTTGTTTCGGCATCACGCAAAAACGGCTGTACGAAATTGGATGCGTTTTTCACAATTACATTTCTGAAGGTTCAATTTAAAAATTGATGTGGGTTTTATCTTGAAACGCTATCTTAAAATGGTTGATTTCATTAATGTTCTTAGATCTAAAATCCACAGCTACGTATATATAAATAAAAGATACTGCTTTACGGTTGAAACACAAATGGGACAGAGGTGCCCAAGCAAATGACTTTTGTACAAAGTCTTCCTCTAGTGAGATATCGTCTGCCTCTGGATAGATAGTGGTAGAGAGAAAGATCCCATCATTCAAGTTCATAGCTTCTTGACAATTGTCAATTCCTCAAACTATGCATTACTGCTTCTACCTGCTAATCCTTTGGCCTGGGGGGAAAGGGGTTGTTAGTAATGGAGAGTGAGAATCCTATTGCTAGCAATATACCCAACCAGGTCGACCTCCTCGCGGTTCCCCCTGAAAACTATCATGGTTAATTCCTGATGAATTCATCATGATGGGCTAACTGACCTGTTTTCATTCTCATCTATTACCCTTCACTGGTGCTCCGCCAGCGTATCCCGTTAGCGCAGGCGGGGTTATTACCATTTTCACCTATCCAAAAAATCCTTTAGCCTTTAATTAAATGTATTGTAAGTCGTATACAAGATCGTAAATAATTCTCAGTCTAATACTATATTAGTTCAGTATCAAGCAATCAAATTCCGTTGTTGATAAATGACCCTATCAAGTCTGTCGTGTTGCGTGGCACAGCTATTTATACGAGTCAGTACACTGAATCAGTACGCACAAATAGATGCGCGTACGCTGCGCGTGTCAGTGGACGCTTTTAGCCCATTGGGTCGGTGCGATCGCCTAAAAAGGATTTTTGTGTACATAGGTCACTTGATTAATAATATTTTTATAATATAATTAGTATGAGTGGGGGAAGGATTATTAGGAACTTAGCAATCAGGTTTACCACCACGCAGCTCCCATATAAATAATCGTGGTTAATTTCTAAAAAAAATCTTGCAATGGGCCACTTGACCTACCTTCGTCCTCATCCATCAACCCATATTGGTATCCAGCCGGCGTAAACTAATTGTGCAGTTTGGATAACCATTTTATTTTCATACCATAAGAAAAAAATATGCGGAAGATCGCCGCAGATTTAGCGCGGAGGTCTGATTTTCATTATTAGAGACAACCTGCATATCAGGGATCGATCTCCGATCAGAATTGACAATATATTGGTCCCGTAGGGAAAGGGATTGTTAGTAATAGGAAGGTTAGTCCCCATTGCTAACAATATACCCTATCAGGTTGACCTTCACGCGGTTTCTCCTGGAAACTATCATGTTTAATTCTCGTCGAATTCATCATGGTGGGCCAACTGACCTGCATTCATTCTCACCTATCATCTTCCACTGGTGGCTCGTCGGTGTATACCGATAGCGCGGGCGGGGTTACTATTCCATTTTCACCCATTATAAAAATTTATTAGTCCCATACGTAGTAGGTATCGATCTTTTCTGTGATGTCTATGAATCTATGCAACAATTACCATGTTCTAATAATATCTAATAATTTGCCGGAATTATAGTTTACATAATATGATGTTTCAGTTTTTGTTTAGTGATCAATATGTTTCGCTATATTTAATAGTATGCAAATCTTTATAGGTATTCATCAAACATATCGAATATGTTACCTTATAATCTTAGTGTAATTAACACTAGCGACCCACCCCGGCTTCGCACGGGTACACATTACATCACATCACATTAGATACCTTTAATATTATCAGTGTTTCTACACTATATTATCTATGTATTGTATAAACATATATATAAACCTTCCACTTGAATCACTCTATCTATTAAAAAAAACCGCCTCAAAATCCGTTGCGTAGTTTTAAAGATTTAAGCATATATAGAGACGGACAGACAGCTACAGCGACTTTGGTTTATATTATGTAATGATGTCATAAATTCTAATATTAAGTTATTTTAAATTAATTTTTATACAAATATGTTATTTAGGGCAATAAATTATATCTAAGACAAGTCCAAAACTAAAATACTAAATATAATAAATTGTTATATTTAATACCCATCAAGCAAACCACCAGATTGTTTGCCATTGGGAGTTGTGTATAAATAAATTAACACAGATTTAACATAAGATTAAAAGAATTAAATTGCGGCTACATCTAGATAGAGCAAATTGCATTTCTCCTAGGCACTGTCAACTTTTTGTCTAGTTCTAAATTCCATATAATTATAACGGAGTGAAATTCTATGTCAACGAACTGATTCGGGTCGCCGATGCTTTATGCGGTCGTGTGATGTGATTAAATTGTGCATTTGCTGATTAATGTACTGGCACCAGGTAGAAATAGCCGTCGTTTGGCGCCACGTATGCCGCATACCTGGGTTTGAGAGATGACACCATTTATTAATATCCATCAACAGTGCGACGTCCTTGTTTTTCGTTCCTGCGTCTGTGGGCTGCATATTTCCATTTTCTATAAATACTGCTTTCCATACGGTGTCATTTTTAGATATTTTCAACAACTACTGTTGTAACTAAGTTTAGTGAGCATTTTCAATATCATGTGTCAAATAGTAGGGATGGGTAACATACAGCAATATCTATATATTTTAATTACAATATCTGTGTATCCAATAACGAATCTGTTAAACGTCTATTATCCAAAAAATAATATTGGATAACAAACTTGTAACATATTCAAAAAGAGATATCCGACCGATATGGGCGACTTTGTACAAAAGTCGTTTGCTTGGAAACCTCTGTCCCATTCGTGTTTCAACCGTGAAGCAGCTGTGTTTGCATGGCTGTGTTTCGGTTTGAAGGGTGGGATATGGCGTGAATTTACAGGGTACAGAGAAATAACACCTGAGTCCTCAGGAATGGCAACGCATGGGGGGGGTATCATGGACGAAACAGTACACTCTGTTATGTCCATAGTACTGCTCATGTCTATAAGCGACGGTTACCACTTTCCATCAGGTGAGCCGTCAGCTTGTTTGCCATTCTAAGTTGTATAAAAAAAATCGACCAGCCAAATGAACCAATATATAGACATCAGATCGGTATCCATATTACCCATGCCTGTTAAAAAATTATGAAATTAAAGGGAAATTTAATACAGCTTAATAAAGTGTACAGATTCTAATGTGGAAAAACAAGACAGTTTCTGTAAAAACTTTTAAGAGGAAAAAACACAAGGCATTCCTAGTTACTAAATTGAATTGACGACAGAATATTGAGAAGCCTTTTCGCGCTTGATGGGTTACTAGTTTTTTTAAAACACACGCGGCAAAGGGACATGAACACCAGCAACGCCGCAGGAATTGCAAATGTACTGTGGCCTTTAAAAAAAAGAAATATGGTCTTTTCTCGAAGATTTGGATATCGTATTGGTAAATTAGAAATACTACTGCTGGAAATTGATACTAAATTATGATTCTACGTGGCAATTGTTAGTATCCGTTTAAAAATTTATTATATATGTCGTAAAGAGACTTATTTTTACTTTTCACCAGACGAAACGAACTTTTGCCAAGGACTTTGGTACTACAATTGACGACAGGAACAAATTATTAAATCTTTAACCCATTGTTCAACCAAAACTCAAAAGCAACTAATAATAATGCCAGAATTAAATTACTCGAAAGCCCTGATTAAGAGTTTTTCTGAAAACTACTCAAAAAAATTAATCTCTTGAAAAACAAGGGCTTTCACTGTAAACTAAATATGCATATGGCCCAATCCGGCTTATGCCCAAAAATTATTCGCAGATTTTGTCACAGTGGGAAAAAAAACGCCATATATATAAACTATATATAATACTAATATATATAAACGATATCTTTGGAAAATACATTTTATATTCTGAGGAGATGAAAAACATCGCAGCTAAGAACATCTTGAAATTCCTAACACATACAAAAATCTGCAGCTAACTTTAAAAAAGTGCGATCACAGTTATCGTAGTATTACAGATTTATCTGCCTGATAAAGCCCAGCTTCCAATAATAATAATAACTCATTATTAGAAATATACCTTAATAGATCGACTTCCACGCAGTCTCACTCTGGAAGCCATTTCATTTAATATGATGGATTTGGCACTATAAGACAATAACCTGATTTCGTCTACACCCATCTTCATTAATACCTCGTCAGTATAAAGTGTAAGTGTATGCATTCCATTTTTATGTATTAAAAGTTATAGGAAGCAAACTCATACTTGTATTATATCTTATAATATATTTCTAAAATATACGTTATGTTGTAAAAAAAAATGTTCAACAAAGTTGCCAGTTCATTGCTCGATAGATATTTGGTCCTTCTCATTCCTAATACACAATCAGGTTAGATAGCTGTGTAATAGCATAATTGCAGTCGCTAAGAGTGCTAACATACTGCGCAGGAGTGGGCCACCTTGCGGCGGCGCTTTTGATGAAGGAACATTGGCGCGCGCGCATGCCGCGCAAGTAAAAACTGCATAAAAATTATAATAAATATTTTTTTTTAACTTTATCATAATTATAATTTTTTTTAACTTATTTAGAATTAAAAAACACGAACGGCCCATCTGGTGGAAAGTGACCGTCGCTTATAGACATGAATAGCAGCATGGGCATGTAATTCTTTTTATTAACTGTATTTCCTTATTTCTATGTAGCTATAAAAATATTCTTAATAGTTATTACTATTTAAATTTATATTTTTAAGACATTATCTCGTTTTCCCCGATTATTTCCATATTTTTCTTCAGGTAAAACATGGAAAGAAAATTCATAAACGTCGATTTGAGTATCTTAATTTTTTTTAATAGTACAATATGTGACTATGTCACTACACTGTCTTGAACGAATACAAGAACGACATGATCCATGAATGCTATCAACCACAAAGACAATGTTCTTATTTTCAACGGTAATTCATCTTTATTAGAAAGACAAACAGTTATATATTAACAGATATTTAGCCGTGTAGGTCCCGGCATAGAATAGATATTGCACAGAAGAAAAAAAAGAAAAAACCGATTTATATTTTCTTTTTATTAAAATTTCCTAAAATTAATCTTTCTGATAATTATAATGAGATCGAATGAAAAGTTCAATTAGATGATATTGCTGACGCTACCACAATACCTATAATGGCTGCATTACAATATAATTGTCGCTCGAATGCTTCGGTTGCAACTAGTACTTGGTCAATCATACAGTCAACTAAGATTGAGTGTATGGCGACTTAGAGGCGGGCCAGGTTTTTATGGTTGCATTAGATGGTGCATAATGCCTCCTAAGGCTTGCTTTACACTTATTTGCAAACAAGCATCAGATTGGACCGTGGTTGTTCGAAGATTCATCCAGGACCAGCTTTAACCTTCTTGGCATCCATCTCTGAGCTATTCTTTGAAAGCGCCTTCCTGACGAGGAAAAAAATAAATTAATAAAATTTCATGTAATTTTATTTATTTATTTACAGATTTTTAGAGATAACAACTATCAATATAGTTGTTATAACTTGAACACTACTAGAACAAATAATAATAAATAAATGTCCCATTCGTGTTTCTACCGTGAAGCAGTTGTGTTTGCATAGCTGTGTTTCGGATTGAAGGGTGGGATATGGCGTGAATTTACAGGGTACAGAGGAATAACATCTGAGTCCTCAGGAATGGCAACGCATGGGGGGTATCATGGGCGAAACAGTATACTTTGTTATGTCCATGGTACTGCTCATGTCTATAGACGACGGTTACCACTTTCCATCAGGTGGGCGTCAGTTTGTTTGCCATTCTAAGTTGTATAACTAAATGTACTAAGATATTATATCCTGTAATTTCACTGCCACATCTCATCCTTTTAATCGAAACACAGTCATGCAAACACAACTGCTTCACGGCAAACCTGACAAAGGTATCCAAACAAACATTTTTTGTACACTGCCAGTCACCCTATCTGTGTCAGTTACCCTCTGGTACCAATATCGATATTAATTTGAACCTAAACCGGTAAATTTATTGCTTAGTACAAAAAATTTCTTGGTAGGTGTAGGATGCATTAAAATATTTTTTCTATCAAAGATGGGCTTTTATAGATTAAAAAAAAATTCTTACCTATTTTATAATCATGTTTCCTATCATTAAAATTTTATATCGCAGACACGTGACATTGACCTACAAAGATCACTCTTGTTTGTATGTACTTACTCTAAAATTGAATTAACTTTATCGCACTATACATTGTTGAATTAATTATCGGTAACCTTATTATAAAAAAAGAAACACACATCGAAAAAAAACTAATATAATACAATTATATAACAAAAGATAATCAGAACATGCTTCATAGAACTAATAAAAGTAAGATAAATTATCGTTAAACTAAAGAAAAAACTTCTCGAATTATTACACTTTATATACCATTCTATGACGCATGAAGTGAGCAAATACTTTTTATCACATATCTTATAATACCCTGATGTACAAATTATTATTAGAACAGTTCTTCTGTAAATGCACAATGAAAAAAATCACTGGTACTTATGAACATCTAAGTTATTGTTTGTAAAAAACACAGGAGATTCAGGATTAAAAGTCGTAGCCACATGCCCTGCTCGATGGCCTAAATCCATATGTTTGAATATATTTTGAAGTAAATGCTGTTGCTCCATAAGTAGTGTATTCAAATGCCTTATTTCCTGATCAATTTTCTTCAAATTAAACGTCGTTTGATCAATTTTCTCTTGCATTCCTCTCAATTCTATATTCATGTTATGATCATTGTTTTGTGTCTCGTTTTTTAGTTTTGATGTGTTATATCTATTTTTATGTAAAATTTCCTTGACTGATCCACAGAATTTTACTTTATTCAATTGTGCTAACTCGTACGCTGCCATCATTATATCTGTCGGTAATCTGTTCTCACGAGGATTTAACGGTTTCACGCTCAATATTACTTTTCCAGCTTCAGGTGATACCAGAGCAGTTCTATATACGTACTTATGTAAACATTTAGGTAAGAGAGCACTAAACATTCCCATTTCAACAAATAATATTAGCTTGGTCTGTCTGACTAATTTCGACAATCCGGCAGTTTTCCTTAGACCTTGAATATCATGAACCGCAATACCGACAAGCAGATTCATCAAGATAATAGTGACAAACATGAGAAACAGGATGAAAATAATTTGCGATGATATTTCAAAGAGCAATGGTGGGTCATCCTTAAGTGGATCGTTGATTAATATACTTAAATTTAATTCTCCCACCATCATTGATACTATTGTTATAAAACCCATTAAGGGATTAGAGAACATTTCCTCGTTAGGAAATACTACACAAAAACAAATACTAAAACCTAACAGGAGGCAAATATAAGCCAAGAGTAATTTTAAAAATTCTGCTAATACTTTTTGGTACATAGCCACATAGTCGCCGAACATTGGAAGCTGCCCCATTAAGAGCATTAAATTTGTCCAAGCACCAAGCACAGCATATCCACCGACGTGGTTTTGCCAACTATAATCGTCGTTTATATTATACAATGAAAATACAGAAAGTAACACAAACCACTCCATTAAATTTTCAAATGTAGTGAAATATTGCTGGATGCTTGAGTAACCTGTAATACCAGTCAATTTACGAGCAATCTCAAATGCTGTGATTCCCATTAGCACCCATCTTTCAAATTTAATAGGATTATTACTTAACACGGCACCAAGTAATGACTGCTTCTGACAAAGCTCATTCGGTACTCCATACTTTTCTGAATGTTTACCTTTGCAGGCTTTTACGACAGTTGTTAGAACGTAGATCGATAGAAATGATACAAACAAAAAACAGAAAATAAGTCTGGCTAAGTAAAACTTTCTTATTTTTCGCCATTTCATAAACAAAAATGCAGAACATAGGGGATGCAGCAGAATGTTTTTCTGACCTTCATCAATTAAAATATTTAAATATGTAATTTCTCGAGGATATGAAAACTTAAGGAGTTTACCGAAATCAAATTCAATTTGTACTTCCTCATTAGCTTCTGTTTGTGGAGTGATTGAAATGCCATTATCTAAATTATGTCGTAAAATTGATAAAGATTTTGGAGTTTTTCGAGCAATCACACTTAAAGCTGTATGACCTTTCTTTGATTTAGACGTTACGTCAGCTCCTATAAAGAGTAGAATCTCCACACACTGTGTTACACCATCTATAGCAGCAAGATGCAAAGGAGAATAGCCATACACATCTTTTTTATTAACTTGTGCTCCACAACTAACCAACATATCAATGATATCGCAGGCACGATCTGAATGACTAACAGCAGCATGTAATGGTGTTCTCTTATCTGAATCTTCAACATTGGGATCTGCATTTCCGTCTCTCAGAAGAGCTTCCACACATTCTACACTAGAACATCTAGCAGCTAAATGAAGTGCAGTGAATCCTTTATGATTTAATGTATTTGCTTTCGCGCCTTCAGCCAATAAAAGTTCCACACATTCTGCATACCCTCGTGCCGCAGCTAAATGTAGAGCAGTACATTCCTTATCTCTTTGTTTAGTTAGTCCATTTACATTTATCTTAGTCTCTTTTAATAAATAAGCTAAACAACGTTGAGCTCCAAGTTCTGCGGCAAGGTGTAAGGCATTTTTTCCTCCAGAAGTAACATAACTTGGATCTACACCTTTTTCTATAAATAAATCCATGCATTCTACGGCATCAGATCTTACAGCACAATGAACGAGATTATCTTCACAGCCTGCTCTTTGAACAACTGCATGTAAGGAGGCACCATTTGCTATCAATATATCGGCAACTTCAACACAATTTCCAAATGCTGCACAATGTAGGGGAGCAAAGTATTTGGGAGTATAATTAGCATCCGCACCGCGTGACAGTAAGTAAAGAACTGCGCCTTTTGCAGCTGCAAACGATGCTAAATGTAAAGCTGCCAAACCAATAGGCTCTGAGAATTGAATTTCAGCACCAGCATCCAAAATAGCCGGTAATAAATCATCGCGTGCTAAAAACGCTATCCACAGTAATGCCAAATTGATGACCGCATCTGGAGCGGATGCGACATGTTCCTCTATATTTTCCGTTGTAACCAATCCACATTCTATATCATCAAACAGTCGTCCGGCTCCCAATAAAACGGCCTTTTCACATATTCCTCGACGGATTGTGTCTTCTGTAACTCTCGCTTCTATGTCGGGAGGAATGAAGTCAAAACTGTGGTACATATCTGGAGCATCCTCAGCGGGAGGTGAGGGTCCAACAAACAAATATTCTTTCGCTGCACCAATATCACGGGCAGTTTCCAGCAAATCGATGTTCCGCACATGTTTTGTGTATGTTGGATTCAATGGGAATTCTTCTGTAGTTCGAGAACTCATGCTACGTAAATAATGACTACGCATGGAGTTGCGCGTACTATGGGATGGTGTTTCCCAACCCATCTCGCGGTATCCAAAGTTGTCCATAGTTTGAACGTGACTGAGTGAGTAACTCTTCTCATACCGCTATCTTATCAGGTTTGTTTAACTGAAGCTGATACAGTAGAGATATTTACTCCTAAGATGATTTATTATGCTGTTTTTGCGCGTAATCATACATGTAATATTGTAACACAAATGCACTGAGAAACAACGCATAACTTTCTATTTAAATGAATATGATTTGTTTTTACATTTCTATGATTATACTATTTATTTTAAATAAAAAAAAGACAAGGAAAGGAATAATATAAAGTTATATATTTTCCTATTTTCATGAAATAAAAACTTTTCACGTGATTTCATTTAAATGATAACAATGTAATAGTATTTGTAAAATCAAACATCAAATATTGAATAATAAATTTAACGTTATCTTGTGCATACATAACTTATATTCTGTGATGTACACAAGACAGAAAAAACATTTTTTTATGTATTTAAAATACTAGTCTTTATCAGTCACATTAATAATATATTACTATTGTTGTTGATGTATTAATATCAACGTTTTCTTATTTATAGCACATAATGTTTATTGTTTATGGTAGACTATTGTGGAAATCAAATATGTCGATCCTAGAGCGAATGACCGTATATAAATGGTATTCGACATCTGTATAATACCATAGACATTCCAAAATACAGAATTTTTCATTTGACCTCACATTGCATAGGTTATTCCCAAGTAGGTATCGATTATGAAAACAATCTTCAAATAATCGAATTGTACTCATATTGAAAATGTTATTTACATTTCGCTTTCGCTTATAATTCGAGAATAATGTGATTGATTGTAGCTTTGTAACTTTTTATTATCTTTCTTTATATCAATACGAAGTTTGTGATAGTCATTGTATCTATTCATATTTTTTGTTGTAAACTGAACTTTTATTTGAAAAAAGCAACACAGCTGTTTCTTTTTTCAAATAAAAAAATTTCTTGCCCATTTTTCTCCGCTGAAATTATGTGTGTGTGTGTGTGTGTGTGTGTGTGTGTGTGTGGGTGCGTGCGTGCGTGCGTGCGTGCGTGCGTGTGTGTGTGTGTGAAAATGTGTTTGCCCTCCGCCATTTTTAATAAAAATTAAAATACCCTTAAAACAATTATCAAAGTCATACAAGAATATTGCACATATCGAAATAATTCAAGATTGTATTCCACATAAACAAAACTCTCCGAGAATTTTGTCTCTACAATTTCATGAACAAAATGTTTTCCTTAAAATTGCGACAAAAATATATAATCTAGCGACATTAGTATATTGCTTTCAATTATCTTGGTTCTAATTCTGATTCTACTTGTACATATTAATCGTATTAGGGTGTCACCCTCTGGTGTCAAATGTTTTAAGGCCTTTGTTAGACACTAGAACTTCACATTTTTTTATTAAACTTAGAATGGCAAACAAGCTAACGGCCCACCTGATGAAAAGTGGTGACCGTTGTCTATAGACGTGAACAGTATCATAGACATGACAGAGTAAACTGTGTCGCCCATGATACCCTTCATACGTTGCCTTTCCTAAGGACTAAGGTGTTATGCCTCTGTATCCTGTAAATTCACTGCCATATCCCTCTCTTCAAACCAAAACACAGCCACGCAAACACAGCTGCTTAATAGCATAAACACGAATGGAACAGAGACACGCAAGTAAACGACTTTTGTATAAAGTCTTCCTCTGCAGAATCACATGCCCTCTGAAGCCCGAAAGAAAATCCAAACATAAATCTAAAAATTCGGAGATTTAGTCAAAGGGCAACATTATGTTTTAGCTTGAATTAGATGTTGGAATTTCAGGATTACAATCACACAATATTATCAGTAAATTTGACATTTCAAATCTTAAGTAACTATTCAATAATGCTTGCAATTAAGCATACTTAAATAAAACATAATTTTATTTAGTTTTTTTTTTTTGTTAGCCAATACCAATGGCTTTATCCAGGATATGCTGAGTGACCGAGTTAAAGTAGCTTATATACTATACTATCCCATTTAGTAAGGATATACTATATTTCATTTTTTTAAAAGCTAAACTACTAAACCGATTTTGATAATATTTCTTTAAAACTAGTCTGAAAGTATATGAGATGAGACAAAAATTTTCCAAATCGGTTTGTAAATGACGAGGTTCAGAGGTAAGAAATAAAAAAAATGTATATAATCAAATAAAGGATCTTCTTCGTTTTTGAAAAAGTCAATATTCACATCTACGCGAGTTCAACTAGTAATAAACAGTGGAAAACGATAGAACTTGACACGGGAGGAACTGACTGCTCGCTCTTATCGCAATGGCCGTCAGGGTACGTCAACCTCGTCGCCGTACGACTATTTACACACTGTCTATTTCCAGATGTCACTAGTGATATGCGAGTCAGGCTGACTCGAATACCTACTAAGTACTCGGCTACTCGATTACTCAATATACAATATTCGAATACATGATACTCGAATACGTAACTACTTGTCATATTTGTTTTGATGGGTGAAAATGGTATAGTATGGTATGGCCTGCGCTAACGGGATACGCTGACGGAGCACCAGTGAAGGGTGATAGATGACAATGAAAACAGGCCAGTTAGCCCATCATGATGAATTCATCAGGAATTAACCATGAAATTTTCCAGGGAGAACCGTGAGGAGGTCGACCTGGTTGGGTATATTGCTAGCAATGGGATTCTCAGTCTTCATTACTAACAATCCCTTTTCCCCTTACTTGTCATATTCGATTTCAATTTAATTGTTTAATAATTACTAAAGTTCATTAATTAATATATATTGGGGGATTTAGCCAATAGTTGCCATGCTTAGCAGGCGAGTCGACAAACTCAGTTAAGCTTTGTTTAAAGAGGAACGTTGAAGGTGAAAATTAGTTACATAACTGAAAATTTATTATCTTCATTAAATTCAAAAATCGATTAGAAAATCGCTCGAGTTTGATGAAGTACTCGTCACTATTCGATCATTTTCCTTAATGAGAATCAAAATACTAACCAAGGTCGAATGAAAGAAATCCCTTTAAGGGATAAGTCCGCCTGTGTACATTTTCGTTACTACCTAATTAATATCAATATTAAAAGCGAATCTATAAAAGTATATATTATAAATAAATAAAATACCCGAATACCAAATTCATGTTTCGACACCCAGGAAGGCTTATCAGTAATGGGGATTAGCAGACTCATTGTTAATAATATAGCCTGTCAGATCGACCTACACGTGGTCTCCCTTGGAGACCATCATGATAAATTCTTGGTGAATTATATCCTGAAGGTCTGATTGGCTTGCCTTCATCATCAGTCATCGCTCACTGGCGCTCCGCTAAAAATTTCTCGACTCGGCACATCACTAGATATAACACGGTATAAGATATTTACTTTGTCAGTTGGACAGATCTTTATCACAAATAAAATTTACATTTATATAGCTGTACTCGCAACTTTGTTCACGTGATATGCATATTTAAAGTAGCAATCAAAACTATATGAAAAGATTAAATATTTAGAAATAATTATTTGTAATAGAATAGAATAGTGATAGAATCCGAAACGAGGATATCTGCAAAAGTACTTAAGTAACCGACATAGCTCGAAGGTCCTTGAGTGGCGATCCTATACAGGCAAACGCAGTGTAGGACGGCCCCCCACTAGATGAAGTGACCCGACCTCAAATTCATTGCAGGGAGTCAGTGGATGCAGGTGGCTCAGAACCGTTCCTTATGGATAATGGCTGAAGTGATGGTGACGATGATTCGTGTTGCGACCGTGATCTATACCCATTAGATATCTTTCACATTAACTCACCATTATCACGCTAGATGGCATGATACAGGAAATAATTACATGCAGAGATTTAAGATATAATTCACTTAATTGAACCATACCAGTGAGTATTCTCATGGCTAGTATAATATGCACGCACTAATTATTTTGCGGATAATTACAGAGATATTTACATTCAACGACTTTCTATCAATATGACGACTTCAAATAGTAGTTTCACATTACTTCCTAATGCTATGACACAGATAATATAATACTGTATTAGGCTATGACAACCAGCAAGCTAATATTTGATGTTTTGATGTATTGATTTAATTCTATTAAAATAAAATGGACTGTTTATGATACTTAAATAAATTTGCCTTCTCGGGAAACTCTTAGAGAACATTTAAAAGAAACAGGTAAACTTCTAAATTCAAATGAACATGTGTTATAGGCAGGGCACTAGGGCATTCTTTACTGATGCCCTGTCAATAATTACCGATAGCGCAAGCGGGGTTACCATTGCATTATCAGTTATTAAAAAAACAATGTTCTTCGATGTTTACAACGCCAATCGTATCGTGGTCGTCTCGTGAACTGAAAACGAACCTTTTAGACTTTCTACAATGTATTTCTAGTTCAAAGAACTGAATAGTTAGAGTGGTTATAAATTATCATAAATCAAATATTAGAAATATTTATTTATTTATGCTTTATTGTACACAAAAATTACATTGTTACAATTTATATTAAATGAATATGTACAACGGGCGAGCTTAACTCTGTACAACTTCTCTTCCAGCAAACCTTGAGTGGAAAGGAGCATTAATTACCAATAAATATTTTGTATAATAAATATTTTTAAACTTTTGCACTTGTGAGCCGTATGACGAAACTCTGATACGAATTGCAAATGTTAATTCAAACTTGAAGTTATACTGTGTAATCTATAGTAAAACAAATGTATACTAATATAAAAAAGAAAAGAGGTTTTAATCGTTTGTTTATTTGTATCTCTACTGAAGGATGATAGGTGGCGTTGAAAGCAGGTCTATGGTGACGAATTCCACAAGAATTAATCATGATGGTTTCCGGGGGGAACCCGGACCAGGCTTACCATGGAAAATAATCTTATTTATGGTGATTTTTCAACTGACTATAAAAAGAAGGAGGTTTATAATTCGGTTGTATTTTTTTAAGTTTATTACCTCATAACTCCGTCAGTCATAAACAGATTTGGAAAATAGCTTCTCTA